CGCGCTTCTGAGCTTGGGTGCTGCTGCGATCCTCGGCTGGAGGTCACTTGCCAAAAAAGGGCAATCAAACACATGATGCCCTGCTTCATGGCAGTGATAACAAGCACCACCTGGCTTTTGTCCACTGCCGGCTTGGCCACGTCCAGCTCCACGTCCACCACCTTGGCTCCCGCGACCACCAGAACCACGTCCACCACCGGAACCACGCCCGTGTCCTCCAGATCGACCACCACGTCCACGGCCGCGACCACGTCCTCGACCTCTTCCTCCACCAGCAACGAACGCCTTTTCTTCATCATCATTGTCCTTGGCGCCCTCTGCTTTCCGACCTTGGCGATGGTCGTAAGCCATCTCCAATGCGAGTTCAAGTTGTTCATAATTAGGAGGACCATCAGCATTTTGGGGGTTGTGACTGGCGAGAAACGCCTGTACAACATGATCATATTCGCGCGGCAGAGATCCAATCAATAGTGCTGGCTTTACATACTCGTCCACAGGACGCCCGACTCCAGCAATGGTCTCCATCAGCCGACGCATCTCGCTCAGGTGATCTAGCACATTGCCATTGGGAGCGAGCCGTAGCCGACTGAGCTTACTCCCCTCAGCGTACTTCAATACGTCTTGCCCATAAATCTCTTTTTAGGCGCTCCATCACACGAAACGGGGTGGGTTCATACTTCACAGTCTTCATTATGTGATTCGTCATCGCGTCGTAGATGATCTTCTTGGCGTGGGCCATCTCGCTCGTCCACGTCGCGTGCGCCTCTGCCTCCTTGCTCTCGTCCGGCTCGAGCAAGTCCTCCATGCAGTACTTCCACAGCTTCTTCCTCTCCAGCTTGAGCTTGGCTCGCTCGTGCCAGACCTCGTAGTCCTTGCCGTCAAACGGCGGGATCGTCCTCTTCTCCTCGTGTGACTCCTTGGGCGTCTTCTTCTGCTCCGCCATGACGTCCTAGTTGCTGTGCTCCCCTCGCGTGAGCCTTGGGCTCATAACCTGAAGTGGAGTGTCCTCTTGGTGCTGCTCACGCAGAGATGGAAGCAACGACAACACTCAGCTGGGCGGCAAAAGCCACCTTGTTGGTCGTGTGTATATTCTCAACTGAGGCCTAGATTCTTCTCTTTCACCTTTTGTCTTACTCCAACTGCAAGTAGTATAGTGGGGATCAGTTTAATCCGCAACAGGTTATAAATGCACCATATAAAAACTATACATATTTGTGTGACCTTTATGGTAGGGAGGCAAGATCTCGAATACTGGCCCGACAAATAGTTCGGGGGGCATTGTTGAAGGGACATCCAGTTAAAGGCATGCTTTTATTCGTAACGGACAGCACCGCAGTGTTGCGAGTACTTGGAAATAGCTGTAAACTCGCTTTGTAAAGTGGTTTTTCAGCGCAAAAAGAATCTAAAATACGTATCGTATGACGCGGGCTGCGAGTCTGACATGGTTGACATGCAGAACCTCCTGTCTAAGCTTAAACGGCACGCAAATCGAATACCTCGCTGAGTTAAAGAGTCACAGAGGAACAATACGGTGTTTGAGAAACCTTCGGGGTCGCTCATGATAATTTTGTCCGGGGATAACGTCTGTATAACACTTCACGATTTGTGCCACAATCTGCGCCACAATCTGCGCCACAATCTCCACAATCCACAGTAGAGATGTCATTGTCAGCGCCTCTCCGGGGTAGTTCGTGAGCACTGCGTACCTACCTACTTCGAACGCGACACTATAGACTACAATCACGGACCAGGCCCACCTTCTTCAGCGTCTCCTGTCCACACATCACTTTAGGTAGGCGATTGTGTTCACCACACAAAACAACGTTGAGTATAACGCCACATGAAATTGAAGGTGGGCGAGATCCGGAAACCAGCTGTATCATGAGTGCAAAGATTCTGTGGCTTGTGTCAATTATCCACAAGCCTCCTTGTGATATTGTGGTAGATTGTGCTTGCTTGTGGCAAATAACCACGATCTTGCCACAATATCACTGCAAATCCTAGAGGTAGATTGTGGTTATAAGCTCTGCCATGAATGAAATAGCTCTCTCGTTGCTGGCGCCAACGCAGCCATTGGACGCTGACCAGGGTGTTATGTCACCGATGGCCTCATCAGACCAGACAACCTCAATTGGTGACTTTCGGTACCTGAGAACCCACCACGATAAAGAAGAGCGGGGCTTGCTGGTTACCAGCCTCACAAAGGTTTGGCTGAAACATCATTTCCGTATCGATACACTTCGATGTGCGCAACTATTTGTTCAATTAAGCATTCTCGGGCAGATGCTGCGGCTGCGAAGCAGGCGCAGTAGAGGCTCTCCTGAAGAACAGGCCCGCTTTTTTTGAACGTTCTAAATCTAGAACACAAAATGACTTGAACTTAATATACAGTATGGCTTAGGTACGAGTTGTAGTCCCGACTATACGCTGGTATACAGATTTGGCCCTCAGTCAGACGACCCTCCTGCGCAAGCAGCAATACTTTTTCAGCTGGGATCGATCAGTATTTATCTAGACGCGCATCGACAACAAATCACAGCGCTCTAGAACTTTGATCGACCTCTAGTCATCGCATTGTGGGCTTGATCGTAAGGGGTCTCGAAAGCAGGCCTGTTTTGAGCGTTTAATACTTTACTTAACCCCTTGGACGCGGAGGGGTGACGTGGACGGCATTAAAAAACGCTTAAACCGTCCCGGACGGCATAATAAATCGTATGAGGCTCAGCATGACATAGTGAACGCGAGTATAATTTTGGCTTTTCTTCACACAGTTTGTTGCTAAGCTCCCGGGTAATTATTCCGCTAGAAGGGACTGGTGTGATCTGCGGATAAAAATCCTCCAATGAGCTGCTCACAGTGCATTCTATGCAATACTGATTTTTAGAGAAACGATGCGCCTGAACGGGTACACATTCCCCTCTATCTTACATGTAACACAATGGATGCTATGGTATTGTCGCCTTGATGGTTGCTACAAGTGATAAGCCCTCTAGGACCCCCACTACATTACAAACAGCGCGCTCCAACGCTACCAAACAATGCAAAAGAAGAAGAGCAACTACAGAGTAAGTTGATGTTGTCTTCGGACACCGACATTGAAGCAGAGATAGCACCACACTTCGATCAGTCGAACAGTATGAATTATGTGTGTGAGCAAGATAAGAGCAACATGAGAACAAGCATATTGCAATGTAATGTACGAGAGGAACTATATTCACGTGCTAGTTTCCTGCACTATAGTGTGACTCGCATTGCTACGGTTGTGGAGGATGTGACTTGGTTTCAAAGCGAGAAGGCATCCTGTCCTGATCCTGTCTGCATAAAGTCAAACTTGTAAGCGGACCAAGTCAGCATTCAAGTAAAAATCAACTTTCACCCATACCTTCAACGCAAAATCGGCGTCCTCTCATCTTGGATGTAAAACTTGAAGCCCACAACATTCCTTACTTCAGCGGCGGTCGATACCTCAATATGAGCAGCAGGCTCCTCTTCAGCTCGTCTTCAGTGCCCTCTGTTCTTGGGCAGCACTCAAACATTTATCACGTTGCCACCGGAGGCGATGAAGCTCTTGACCTGTCGTTCATGTAGACATGTCGTCGTCCAAACAGCCAGCGCCATGTACATCTTCGTAAAACATTTCAATAAGCAGAAACCAATCTCAATCAGTATAAGCCATTTCGTCAGCATAAAGCGCATATAGTATACCTTCCACGTCAGCAAGCCATGGATATTCACGGTAACCGACGCCTGTTGGAGATACTCGAGTCCCCATGCTTGCACGACCACCTACTGAAGGCAACAAAGGTTAGTCCAATCGCAGCAATCATCCCAACGATGCAACGCATACCTCTAGCGTCCCAACGCCCATGACGATTCCTCGCGGCACAGCCGCGCTAGGCAAAGATGACGCATACAGTTCTGCTAGCAAATAGTTAAAACGCAAGTGGTGAGCATGTATTCGAACCCGCACACGTACCAAGCAGCACGAAAGGAGGGAGTGCTTGCGCCGCGGTGCTTACAATCAGACTTCAAGTGGCTCGCGCTTCAAAGCGACAGTCGCACTAGTTAGTTTGGGATCTATACCAAGATACTTAGCGCACGTACCGAGCCTCTCGTCCGTCTGGGGCTTGCACGGAAGAAGCCCCACCGCGCCGATGTCATCCCAAACTGCCACTTTGTCTCGCGCTGCGCCGAATGAAGAATGAGTGGCGGCAGCAAGAGGGGAACCGATGTTTGATTTTTTCTGAAAAATAGTTCGTGCTTGTGCGTGGTAGTTGAACTACCCTGATAGTCATATGTTATTGATGCCCAATCAAATGGCCACGTTTGGATACGTGGACCAATGATATCCAAGCTAGATATGGGAAGGGACGATAATCACTTTTTGCGGATTTAGAGGTATAGTGACATTAAGTGATTCTTATGCTGTTCAGAACAGCATAAGGTGAATTTCCAACCCTCCGCGTCCAAGGGGTTAAGTGATTACGCTTTGGAGGTCTGGCGAAAGCCGGTCAAAAGCGGGCCTATCATGAGCATCTCATAGGGCAAAACAAGGACAGCATCCGTATTAAGTTCAAGTCATTTTCTGTTCTAGATTTAGAACGTTCTAAAAAGCGGGCCTGTTCTTCAGGAGAGCCACAGTAGATGCCCACGTTAGAGTCTACTAAAGAGCTGGGCTGGTAGTGCCTTTTTAAAGGATTAAAAACAATACAACTTTGGGATTTACTCAAATATTAACCGTTATCATCGTCCATGAAACTATTCGTCGACCTGTGTACCCTCCCGGAGCAACGCTCCGGGTTGCCTATTTGATTTCATAGGCCGATCATCGGCCATGTAAACTCTTGCTAGTGCTACAGCTGCGCTGAGAAGTCAAGCAGTCGAACGTCTTTAACGAAAATCCTAACTAAGAAGTTGCGGGGTAATCCAAAGGCTTCTACTTACGAGATAATTAGCGGCTCGTAGTTTTAAAAAAAATGAGTTCACTGCACTGCGCCACACTACTGAATCTCTCTCTTGGAGCCTTCCTCCGTGAAGGTGCAAACCTCCTGCGGATCGACCTGCTCCCGGAATACGTCGACGAACGTGATGTAGTACGCGTGGTGCTTGACGCTGAAGTCCGTGAGGATCGTGGACTCGTCCTTGGCGGCAATCTTGAACTGGTCCGCCGCATCGATGAACTTCATGGCGTTGAGCTTCTTGTAGCTGAGCCTCGTCATCTCGACGAACTTGCGGATGCGCATGTCGCGCGCCAGCTTGAGCACCGTGACGCCGTCAGGCGACTCGACCGTCTCGTCGTCGATGACGTTGGCGTTGAGCTCCGAGTCGGACGTCATGCTGCGGCGGTTCCAGTTGGCCGAGCCCAGCGACACGTACACGTCGTCGATGAGCACGAGCTTGGTGTGGATGTAGATGTCCAATTCTGGCTTGGTGGTGTAAATCTGTACCTTGTTGGGGTATTTCTCCTTCATGGGGCCGATCATCTCGTACAGGTACTTCTCGTAGCCTGAGGCCTTGAGCAGCGTGTCGGGCGGCTGCACGAGCACGATGAGGCGCTGGATCCGGGGCAAGACCTCCATGAGAGCGTCCAGCAGTTCGGGCACGTAGATGAAGTACTGGTCCTCGATGTAGATGAAGTTCTTGGCGTTTCGAAGCGCTTTGAGTCGGGCCTTGAAGAGAGACTGCTCGCCTCGTGGTGCGAACTCCTCGTAGTGTCTGTACTTGCAGCTGAACGTCCGCACGATCTGGATGTTCTGGTGGCCGAGCTTGGACGTGGTGTTGCTGCTCGCGTAGTCGATGGGCGGCAGCTTCTCGTAGTCCGGGTTGTCAAAGTCCAGGAGATTGTCTCCCAGCCCCTGGCACGGCTTGTAGTCGGAGTTCCATCGCTGGAGGAAGTTGTTGGCCACTTCTTTCGCGGCCGGTCCGTGGATCCGGAAGTGAGCGTCCACCCAGCCATTGTTGCGGTACGGGATGTTGGCCGCCTTGCGGATGGCGGTGTTGTTGTGGTAGATCGTGTCCCATCGGTCGTTGGTGAGGTCGATGCCGCCGACGTAGGCGATCGGGTGTTCGTCCTTGCCCGTGGACTTGTTGGCGGCAATAACGATCGTCTTCTGGTGTTGCGACGAGGCCACGAGCGGAACGCGGTCGTCGAAGAGATACACAGCCTTGGCTCCGTTGATCTTCGATGGAGGAATCGAATTGATGACGTCGCGCGCGTTCGTGTTCTGCGACGTCAGCAGGAAGTTGGACCACGACAAGAGGTTGACGCTGCCGCCGCGCTCCACGATGCCCTTGAACATGACGTCGAAGCCTGTCTTGGTGCCCTTAGGGTCGATGTCGGCCTCGAACGGGATGACGCACGTGTCCCAACCTGCGTACATGACGCGGTCGCCCTCCTTCGTCGCTCTAAAGTCCTTAACAACCGCAGTGAAGAACTCGTTCGCGACGGTGTAGACCGTCACCTTGTTGCCGGTCGTGTACGTCTGCAGGCCATGGCGAGGGATTCCACCGCGCGACTCGACAATCTCCTCCTCTGTGATGAACCAGTCCGTCGGCTTGAGCAGAGGCTGCGTCAGCTTGACCTCCGTGCCGTCCGAGAGATCAGCGCCGTCAACCTCCTGGCTTTTGGTCTGCTTTGTGCCTGTCTGAGTGCTAGAACCTGAACGCGAACCGGAGTCGGAGTCATCGTCGTCGCCTCCGAAGAGCGATGAGAATGACCACGCAGTCGCCGGCGCTGGGACAATCGCCAGCGCTAAAGCCACAGCGAGAGCGAGCGTGGAGCTGCGTCGTCGTGAGGTACGAGCTTTCATTCCGAAATCTCGTGTGCGCTTTCGCTCCTCAAGAGAAAAAATGGATAATGTGGCGGTGGTCGCTTTAATCGGCGCTATGTACATGAACTTGTACGGACCGCACGCATCAGGACTCCCGATGGCACGCTTGGTAGGAACGATACGGCAACACGGGCCTGTTCACAGACAGGAGCACGCATACTGGAAGCCAGTCATTTGCACAGCAGGCGGAGAATTCAAAGCGCGACTCGTGCAAAACGTATAATTGTGAAAGTCTCTGAGACCTCGCAATGGCGGATTCGAATTCACTGTCAATCCTCCGTGAGCATCGCTGCTTCGGTAATACTGCCCACATATTATAATGTGCGCCGCATCTTCCCATTGCTCATCGCTGCGTCACATTTTAGGGACGAGTTTGCTGTTATACAGTTGAGTGGTCTGGCTTCCATTAAAGAGTTAAATTGCCATGACCCTAACCCGTCAGGCTGTTTCTTGGGCGAATCCTAGGATGTGCCCCCGCCAAAAGGGACCGAATTTCGGTTCTTACCCCCGCTAGAGTTACACCTTTGAGCTGCAAAAACCCAGTTTATGAGTGGGTTTATGAGCAGGCTGCTCAGAGCAGATAACCGGAGAAGGCGCTTGCCGTCGGCACCGACTTCGCGGCGTTGTTTACCACGCTGCATAGGATTACCGTAGCATCTTAGTCCTAGGCGTCACTGCACAATAGAGCTGTCGACGTCGAGGGTTTTGACGTTGACCCGACGTATTTTTCTGTCGACGTCCGTGGGTGTCAGCCGACGTCGAGCCGACACCACGCCGACATCCTCCGCTCGACTTTCTGCTGATTGGTCAAAAGGAGTTTTGGTGAAGCCAATGAAATCACCTGACCTCAGACGTGCCCATTGCCTCAATCAACTTGTACCCGCGACTCAAACAAACACCCAAGTCCAATACAATGATTTTCACTTGGAAGAGCTCCGCTATCGAATGATGTAGAGTCTACACCATTGGTCTACACTGTAGACCAGCTAGCAGCGAGTCTGCCTGAACGATGGGATGCCCATGCCCCGGATGAACTACAAAATAAGGGGTGACGCTGATTCAAGCTGAGTAGCTTGCATGAGGCGCCCTAGCAAGTGTTGACTGCGCTCAGACAGCGACTTGGGTGTCAGCGCCAGCCATGTTGTCAAAGGTGTCGTCTCCGGCTGGGCCGAATACACGCGCCTTCAATGGTTCCTTTGTCGTCTGGGAGTTGCAACTGCATACATCTCTAGATCCAATTACGAGGTTAACTGAGTGGAACACGGGCTCACATGTAGGTCATCGCAAGCATTAACGTCGACAGTGTTTGTACTCGATCCTATTGCGATCTATAGTGGAGAAGTTGCCCCTCTAAGTTTCACCGAGACACTATTTACTAACAGAGTACGTTATGTGTATGTACTCACGTCCCTCAATGAGGTTAATGCAGGGTGCGCCACCTCGCGCTGTGTAAGGATCCTATTTCGCAATAGTGACACCCTTTTGAATGTCGACTGGGTGTCGGCTCGACGACTTTTGGACGTCTGGGTGTTAGCCGGAGCGACGACCCGACGTCGACAGCTCTACTGCACAAGCACTTACTGCAAATCACAAGCGTCACCAGCTGACTGCACATCATCAAAGCATGTACAGTAATCTGCCCGAGTAAGGAACGCCTGATATATATAAAGACGCAGAATATATAAATTGATGTTAAGTTGAGTATACTTTTCCAATGTACTGATTTAGTAATTTCAAAATGAACTGAAGAGCAGCTTTACCTACGAGTCCGGAATGATTCCAACAGTGGCGTATGGTCGAAGCACTAACCTTTGACCAGGCATCCTCGCACCACAACAGCGCTATCAACTGGTCGACCTCGTAGGGATTATCTAGCCCTTCACCTTGTCGAGGATGCCCACTTTCTCAGACCAAGTGAGGCGGAGACGCTTGGACGGTGTGGACTTCATGGGTGGAGTGGGGGAGGAGGTGGGCTTGTGGGGCGAGGTGCAAAAGAAAAAGTGCGAGTCTACCACCACGATACATGTAGTTTGAAGTCTAGTAAGATCGCTAAATGCGCGCCATTTTTCAAACGAGGGTGGATGATTGGCACTGGATTTTTCACCTCAGTACCTTGCAGTACCTTGCACATCCCCTATCGCCACATCGACTGGAAAATACTATTAAATGTGTATTAAATATGTGAGGCTATTAGTTATACACCCGTTCCTTATTCGGGCAGAATTCTGTATTTCAAATTAGCTTGCACTGCTAATTATTCGTCTCGCTACCGTCGCTGTCGTCACGGCCGCCACCGACATGTTCGCGGTGCTGCCGCTGCTGTGAAGCAACTGTGGCGTGCCCGACCTCAACATCCGCATCGGCGTGCACTTGGGCCCCGTGCCCGCTGGCGTCGTGGGCAGCAAGGACCCCTGTTTGGAGCATCGCGCACTTCTTTGAGAGCAGCGGCGTGCCCGGCCGCACCCACAGCAGCGAGAACACGTGGGCCAGCATGAACACGGAGATGAAGAAGGAGACGCCAGGCCACGGCCTCAAGGTCAAGTACCAAGTGGTGCTCTCCATCAGCGGCAGCTCCAAGAAGCTACGCATGTGTGATGGGAGCGTCCCCGACTATCTAACGTCATTGAGCACCCAGTACCATAACATCCAATTGAGACTTTGAGCCGACCACCGAGAACCTTCATCTTCTGCGCGTAGTCTACCGGCACGCGTTGGTACGTCTTGCTTTTCTTCCCTTTCTTCCCATTTCCCTCGATTCATGGGCGCTCTGCCGCGGAAGTTCCTTGGCGGCAGGCTTCCTTCGAGTGTGCTGGAAAAGCCTTGTTTTAAACGGAATAGAGCCTAAAAATAAAGTCATGTGTAATGTAGCCATATGTTAAAAATGGCAGTGTCCTGCTGTACTGTAATTTACAACTGACCCTTAGGAGTGAACGCCTAGGACTATTAATAAGATGCTACGGTATTACAGTAATGTGCGTCAATAGGAGCCGCTGATATGGATAGAAGCAAGGTGGCTATTAGACCAAACAGTGTAACAAAGCCGGTTTCATGTTCTGGATTAGTATATAAAACAAGTATTAGATGGTTGACTTCCCAGTCAACCCCAATCAATGGTTTATCTAAATCATTACTATTAGCGCTCCTCCCACCCAGCTGTTTATTATATGTACAAGGAAATTAGTTCCTACACGTTCCTTATTGACGCACATTACTGTACGCCCCACTCGTCAAGGGATTACATTAGGCACTGCATACATGAAGTAGAACGGCCAACACGGCCGAGAACGGCGGTTACATGTATTCCGGTTCAACATTCAGCCCCAATCCCTACATGTATTGTCGATTCCGCCCAAAATTGCGAAACTCGAGTGCCACGCGTCCGGTGTCTCGGGCACAGTGTTCCCGGCCGACGAAGAACAGCAAAGTAAGGAGAAGGAGAGCGAGTCGCACTGTGATTGGCTAATTTTACCTAGATGCGCTCTGTTGTAGCGAACAAGCTGGAGATGGAGATGCACCAACTCCCTGCAGATATCCATCTCCAGCTGCGTAGCGAACACGCTCTAAGTTATCCGTGTCCACATAATAGAGGTGGTCCACACAACTGTACATAGGACGCCGCAGGCGGCCCTGCTGCTGAGCGAAGCGAAGGCGGCACCCGCGTGCGTTATAGCGGGCCGTAGGGCCGCCCAACAATATAATAACTAATAACACTGCGAGTAGTGCAGCGAGCCGACGGGGCAAGCGGAGCGGGGGCGACCAGATTACCCATGCTGTGCCGCGAGGTTAATATGATTATTAGCCATTTTTACGATATTAATGAGCAGTAGCAGCGATAGCAGGGCCCACCCAATGATATAATAGCCAGACCACTTCAAAAGTGGGAAATTTTTAAAAATTCCCACATTTCCCACTTTCTGGCAAATTGAGAATCAGATACAATCTCTAATAACGCCCCACATAGGTGGGAACAAGTATTAGTAACATTCCCACCTTTGAGCTGTACCCATCTTCGTTAATATCAGTGTTAATGTATTGATTCCCACTTTTCCCACATCCTGCTCCAGAATAGGTCACTTCCTGATAGAATGTGGGAAAAGTGACTTGTCCCACTTTTTAAGTGGTCTGATAATAGCTAATTACAATGCGAGTATGTATTGTGGCTTTCAATTATTTTGCCGCCCGATTTGTCGTGTTCTCTCGGAGTCCGATTTATATACAGTCAAACCTGTTTATATGATCCACTCTATTTGAGCCATGCCGTTTATTTGATGCAGGCTTTGTCGCTACCAAATATTTCACTTAGCTTTTGTATGATCTCTGTTTATATGCATACAAGGTATATGAGTCACATTTTTGGGGACCAAATTAGCTCTCACCTGTTTATTTGATTCACACTGCTCACGCTTCAAAGCACCACTGCTCAACACTCAACGCCTACCACAAGCCTTCTTCGCTCGCCATGTCTCCTCGCACCTGTCTGACGCTAGAACAAAAGCTCCAAGTGCACCTAAAGCTCAAGCAGAATCCTGGCATGAACAACCCCATGCCCGCCGAGTGGATCTACGCAACTTTCAAGGCCCGGGTCAGCCGTGCCACACTTGCCCGACTGCGCAACCTGCCTTCTTCCTACTTCAGCCACGTCAACCTGAGTGCGACCAAGCGGCGCCGAGTGAAATTCCCTCAGTTCGAGCGGGATCTGAGGGAAATTTTCTTTCAGAACGAAGCTAAAACGGCGATGGCGGACGACGTGCTCCTGCTGAAGGCGCATGAGCTGGCGGAGCGCTTAGGAGGAAGAGGAGGAACAGGAACCCGCAGTTCAACCTGCCATTGCTCTGAGACACTGCATGGAGCTGGCTGCATTTCTGCTGCAATGCGGAGAGCAGACTGACAGAGAACGAAGAGCTTTACAGACCGTGACCGCTTTGGTTCGAGAGACTACGGTGAAGGCAAAGCGGCAGCGAACTATGCACGATTTCTTTACGTGCACCACATAATTTTTTTAACTGAGTCCATTTTATATGAGTCATTGTAGTAGATGGTCACCAACAGGGCCTCATATAAACAGGTTTGACTGTAAAATGGATCTCCTACATGATCGGTTAGTCCAATTTAGCTATATCTGACCTGAGTTAGTAGCATAAGGCTCAGAGGGGAGGCATTCCAAGTTCTCCTCACCTCTCATGACGCATTAGAACTGCAAGAGATTGGTGACAATAGTACACTGTATATAGCCACTTCGTAGCACTATGGCCAGCTAAATCACCTGTGTGATCATCTACGGCCGCTACAACCTCGTGCCACACCGATCTGAGAGGGCCCCAGACATATTTTCGCGGCGGTCCCTTTTGCCGGCGAAAAGCGGCATTTCTGGCCCCTGCTTCGCAACTCGCAGCCCCCAGACGCAAATCGGGCCAGATATAGTTTGCTTCCCTCAGCCCCTCCTGCTAAATCGGAGCCCTCCAGCAAATCGGACCCGATATATCGGATCTTGGACCACCCGATTTGCCAAAACGGATGAAAGCCACAATAGTACGTTGTGGCAGATATAGCTGGACCTGCCCTGCTACTGAGTACAATAGCAATGTAGCGAGGTTGGCATAACATGAAGATAGTAAGTGATAGCCGCGCATAGTTTGTTATAGCAGCATGTAGTCAACGATAGGAGCGCTTATTTAAGCGCTAGCAGCACGTAGTAAGCGATATGAACGTATAGTTAGCGATAGCAGCACGTAGAGAGCTATAACAGTGCGACTACACGTAGCGAAGGTGTGCACAAAATTATTACTAACATGAGCAGCATATTTTTACTGTAATACTAAGGTAAGGGACGGATACATTATAGCTACAGCGGCGCTCTGCGTTCATCTTGGGGGAATATTTAGCTACACTTGCTTGAACGTGTTTCGAATCTTTTTTTAAGGCACAGTATGTAGCGGTAGGTTAATGCGTTATTGCGATAGCAGATGTTCTGACATTCACTGAGCTGGAGCTTTTTATTATAGTAGAAATTCCTTCTCTAACCATGTTATTGGACCGATATGCATGCAGGAAACGGAATTAGCATAACGCATAGTTACGGGGTAAGAACTTCTTACTTTCAATCCCTTAGCTACTGTAGCGATAGGTGGACCTGCCATGCTACTTACTGTAGTACAATAGCAATGTTGGCTCAATACAAACACATAGTAAGCTATAGAAGCGTATAGATAGTTATAGCAGCACGTAGTCAGCAATAGGACAGCATAGTTAAGCGCTAGCAGCACGTAGTAAGCGATATGAACGTGATAGTAGCACGTATAAGCACGTAGTAACCGATAGCATCAACGTTGTAAGTGATAGCAGTGCGAGTAAACGTAGCGGAAGGCGTGCACGAGATTATTACTAATATGAGCAGCATACTTTTACTGTAATACTTTAGGGATGGATATATTATAGCTACAGCGGCGCTCTGCGTTCATCTTGGGGGGATATTTAGCTACACTTGCTTAAACGCGTTTCGTATATCTTTACTTAAGTAAGGTACAATGTGTAGCGTTTGGAGAATGCGTTAGTGGGGTAGTAGACAATATTCACTGAGTGGAAGCCGTTTATTATAGTTTACGCTGGGATTCCTTTTCTAACCGTGTTATGGGGCGGATATACACGCAGGAAACCGAATTAACAAAGGGCAAACGTGACTTTATAACTATATAGTTACGAGTGCGAACTCTCTATATCTTACCTACTGTAATGCAGATGGTACACTAAAATGGTAACGTAGTAGAATAATAAACCGTAGCCACGTCTAAAACAATGAGTTTTGAAGTAGACCGCGCTGTAGTTAGCGCAGCCCGCAGCTACGTTTTGGCGGAACAGACGAAATACTAAAACGATGATGTATACTCGGTATTTATATAAGATCACAAGCATTTAATGTAATGATATGTACAGGAAGAGCGAAGCCCTACTTTGATTGTTGCTGGGGCTTATAGTCCAATGCAGAATGAAGGTATTATTGCCGTTTGCAGATATTTCGGCCAACGCATGCTTATTATCTCGTCAATAATCTCGATTTTAATCCAGCCAGCTCTTAATTAAGACCTAGGTCTGATTTATATATATCGCCAGTACTGGTCTAACATGCAAGCTTGGGGCTCTGTTTTCCCGACCAAAACGCTTTTCTGCGGCTTGTAAACGCAGAAATGCCATTCTAGACGGGCCAAACCGAGATTCTGGGCCTAAAAGTGGCCTTCACCAAAGCACAAAGCTAAAACAGCCCTCGCCTATCTCGTGTCCACTCATAGTAAGAGACAGGCGTGGTCTATTTTAGAGGTCTATTTTAGAGGTCTATTTTAGAGGACATAGTATTTGCAAGCGGCAATGGATGCCTGCCAAAAGTATAGTAAACGGTCGACATATCTGCAGCAGATATGCCCGACTTAAAAAAGATATATGTCGGCATATCGCGTGAAAGCTTCACCAAAAGTGTCTTATTGCTTCTGTCTACGTCCGGTTCCTACTGCCCTGAATCAGGTGGCTGCACTATAGCATATGCAGTGAACCTGTCAACTTGCCCCGGACACTAAAGCGGCAGCACTGCTGCCGCACTTCTTCTGGATGCCGTCACTTTCGGATTCGCGCGCGTCGAGCGCAAGCAAGCTCAGCGACGACGGCGAGCGCGGACACGGACGCCCTCCTCGTCGTGACGGACGCCTTCCTCAAGCAGGGGCGGGAGCTGGCCGAGGCGCGGCGCGAGATGTACCGCTTGCTGCTGGAAGAGGCGTGGCGGACAGCCATGCGAAGTCGCCACTACCTGACGGCACAATGCCTCGAGGCACCATGCAACTCGGCCTGGATGCTCCTCTACCGATTTGGGAGCGATGTCAACTTTATAAACGCGACGAGTCTCACCAGGTACATTTATTGATCGAGTTAAATGATACAAAGCTGTATGTAGCTAACGTGTGACTGTGTGCTGCAGACCTGCTTTCGAGCAGTTGCTGCGAAGGTTTTCGCGCTTCTACTTCATCCCCAAGGCCAAGTTGCGCGGCCGCCCGCCCAAGCTACGGTACCACCATCAAGTCCTGGGACTGGTGCTCTCGTTCTACGTCGGCTCGATGGAGCAGAGCTCGCTGTCCATGCTCTTTGGCTTGCCCCCGAGCACGCTCTCGTGCATCCTGTGCCGTGCAGAGGAGGCGCTGTCCACGGCGCTCCATGGGTACGCTCCGGCGCGCATTTCGTGGCCATCACCAACGCGCCAAGCCGAGCTGCCAAAGCTCGTCGAGGCTCGCGAGCCCCTGCTCAAGTACACTTTTGGTTTCATCGGTGGCAAGAACTTCAAAGTACGTATGCAGTTGTATTCATTCGATCCTATCCGTCTTAACCCATATTGTTGGCTATATGCTGCAGGTGCAGCAACCTTCCAACGCAGATCTTCAAAATGCTATGTACAATGGATGGCTATATTCTGTTTTGTTACAGGAACTATCTGCTTTGCGGCTGACGACTGCATTATCTGGAGCCGACACAACTGTCCGGGGTCATGAAATGACTTGGACACGTCGCTCGGCTTTAGGTTGAAGCTACTCGATCCAGCCTTTTGTCCGGATTCGAGGATGAACGTCGTCTCCGACCCCGCTGTCTCCTGTTCGACAGCTATGGCGGGGCGCATCTCACACCCCTCAAGGACGGAGACCTCAAGCGGATCCTGCCGTCGCTGAGAGCATCGGCGCGCACCCTTCACAATGCCATCACCTCGGTCCGCCAGGCGGCCGAGTGGGCATGGGAAGCGTGCAGAAGGTCTACTCGAGACTCAACCTGCCATTGCCGTACGACCCAAGCTCCGAGGACTTCGCCTGGACAACTTGTTTCGTATGGCCAACTACAGGGTCCGAACGGTGGGGATCTCGCAGATCCAGTCCACGTTTGCTGGTGAGATGGAGGTGCCGACTCAGGTTGGCTAAGTAGTGAGCGAATCACAGCAAGTAGCGTAGCAACAATATATTTTGCGTGGCATTGAACTGTTTTCTCGAAGTCCTTGCAAGTACTCTAATGCTGAACGGATGATGTGAAGTTGTTGTAGGACTTGCTGATGATATCGTGGAAGTTGGTGCTTTTCGCAAGATAGAGATCGATGTAGTTTAGCAGCGAGCACGACTTGAATGAAGATGAAGATGTTGTACATGAAAAGTTGTTGATTCAACGGCTTTGAGATAAATGCAACGCTACTACAATATGAATACGCCATGCTGCGAGGTGCAGGGCCAACAACTCCTTCCTTCGTCTCCATATTTGCTTACGCGCTCTTCTTAATGGCATTGATCAGCATGATCAGCTCCTGCGTGCGAGCGCGTGCATCCTCATGGTCGCGACGAGCTCGGTCCTCTCTTTCGAGTTTTTCTTGGCGACGGCGTTCCTGGGCTTCGGCCTTGTCGGTAAGGTAGCGAGCCTCTTGAGCAGCGACTTCGGCGCGGCGACGCTTGTCCTCTTCAGCGCGGTGTTCTTCGGCCTTGCGTTCGTTCTCCTCACGGAGAAGGAGAATCGTCTCGAGCATGCTTCCGCCCGTGTTGTTCGCAGCGGCTTCGAGGCTGGCAAGCTTGATCTTGAGGGCAGTGGACGTCCTCAAGGCGCGAATCCGCTTCGCTTTCGCAAAGCTTGCCTCCATGGTCTCCTTGTCTTCTTCGAGCGCACACTTGGCACCTATGGTGTCACGGAACGCGGTCAGGTGCTGCCCGCCCAAGCGGTTCGAAAAGTTCACGATCTTCGGGTACTTCTCCGCTTCTTGACTGCGAGCATCAGCGAGCGGCGTCTGCTGCGGAGCCCCCGGTGAGCTCGCATTGGCAGCAGCGGAGCTGACAGCCGTTCGACGTGGCTTCGGCAGTCCGCTTGCCGCACGGCGCGTGGTAGACGTTGCTGGAGGAGGCGCCGGTCGTGGTGTACGTGCACCGTCAGCGGACCCACCACTCGTGAGTGGCGCCGCAAGCAGCTCTTGAAAGTCGCCCAGACTAGGCGACTCGGACTCGGCGGACGGTGCACGTCGACCCTTCAGTGCTGGGCCGGCCGGCCGTCTGCACGCCTTCCCCATCGGAGCAGAAGTCGGGCTCGATGGGGCGATCTTCGTCGGCCTCGTCATCCATTTCGATGACGTTGGCCTTCTCGTCGATCGCCAGCTTCACCTCCTTGGCCTTCTTGACGTGCGGCGGCATGTTGGGCGTGCCAGTCGGCTTCCTGGTGCTGTAGAGCACTTTGAATTTGCGGCGGAGGCTTTCAAAGTCTCACTCAGGGGCACCGCGAGGTCTGTTGGCGTTGTACGACGCCGCTAGACGCTCCCACTCGTCTCGTCCAAGCGGAAGCTCGTTCTCGATCAGCAGCAAGAGGCGGTCGACGTCCGCCGTGGTTAAGTTGGGGTTTCCGGTTTGTCGGACCATCTACATGCACAACAAGTTGAACAACCCCATCAGCAAGCTTGACATCAACGAATCTCGCGTGGGGCAGCGTACCAGGGCGTGAAGCGCGCGGAATTGAAGCTTGGGGCGGGGCGGGTATGCGTCTTGGAGGAGGGTGCTCGTAACTTGGCAAAAGCGAAAGTGAGAGAAACGAGTGCACCGAGAAGCGGCGGCAACTCGACCAGCACCATGCCGCCACCGCCACCAATTTGAAAAGGATGCTGCTCTTAGCAGCTTCAACCTGGAGCGCGCGAAAGCTTCGCGCCCAAAGTGCCAAACGCAGCAGCAGGAAGCCTGCTCGATATCTTTCGAACGAAGCCGTCTTGGCGCCAAATCACACTCACAGTGGTCGGAGCATCCCCGTAGTTTAGCAGCACTTCGTCCCCACAATACTCTCGATTTTCAAGCACCTTCCTGCATTCAGTCGTCCATTCACTCATGCATGCATGTTGCTTCACTCGATGCTCCTCGCTCCTTAGCAACCTTGCTACGCTGCTGTCATCTCACGGGTCTTCTTGGATGTTGCGGTGGCGACAGCCGTCTCGCTCGCAACGGCAGACGAACCAGAGGTCGTCGCCGTAGTCGATGGTCACCTCCTCACCCCGGTAGATTCGCCGCGTCGTCGCCGCGACCACCGTCGTTCGATGCCCGTTCGACACCTCCCTGAACTCCGCTGCATGCTCGCACGAGTGATTCAGGAAGCGCATCAGCCCTCCCATCCCTTCAGCATTAATCACAGCGCAGATCGGGTACGTCGGCTTCTCGTGCCGCTGCTTCATCAGGAGACGGTAGCCGTTGTTGCGTGGGCGGTTCGCTCGAGACACGCTGACGTGCTCGATCTCGCCTAGGTACTGGCCGAGCACCTCACCGGCGCTGATGTCCTCGGCGGCGACAACCCCGAGCTGCTGGGTGCACAAGTTGCGGCCGAGGAAGATCTTGCTTGACTCCTCCAAGCCGTTGCCGCACTTGCCCCCGTACGGGCAGCAACGGGCATTGCACGAGAGTGTTGCGGCAGCTGTCGGTCCGGCAAGGATTCCAGCAACCGCAAAAGCCGAATGGCTGGACCGCTGGGAAGACGGTAGCCAACGGGTTGTATTGCTCGCGCAAGTGAGCAATGGCGTACGGCCACCGTGCCGGCGCGAACACGTCCCCCGGTCGTGACGCCTGCAGTTGAGCACGGGGCGCAGCCGCCGGTACTGCCCGTGTCGCTCGTCGAATGTCGTCCGAGCGCTGGCTGCGTGGCTCATGGCTGGGGACCGTGCGCAGGCGTGAGTACGGGGCGACAGCGGCTTGGTGTGCTTGACGCCGATGGCGAGGGTGAAGCGCCGTGCTTGTCGTGGCACGCGGCAGCGATCTTGGATGCGTTTCCAGGAGCACGGGCGAGGACATCGTCGGACTTGTGCGCGCCCCCGAAGTTGGTAGCGGGGCCGTCGGCGTCTCTGGCGTTGCCGGCGGGTTCGTCACGCGCTTGGATCGGTGCTTGGTCCGCTCTGGAGTGAGCCAGGGCGGCGTCGCCGTGCCCGTCGAGCTGGGGGCGCCATCAGCACCCATGGCACGGGCGCTGCTGACGTTCGGCGGCGTGTTCTCGTCGCTGGAGGAGGAGGAGGAGTCCACGATGCATCGGAGCTTCCAGTGGATCGCGGAGTGCGTCAGATGCACCATCGTTCCTGCTGTAACAAACTGTGTTAGCCAACAGCTAGAAGCACTTACTGCAATTGAAGCTCACGTACCGGAGATCGTTTGCTGTCTTCGCGCCTTCGGAGGCTATTTCAAAAGTGAGCGCAACTTCAAGTTGGCGGCAGGAAGATATAAGCGAGGCAGTATGTCGCCCGAATGACGGTAGAGTGATGGTCGACTTAAAGTATACAAATAACAAGTTAACTCTTTAAGATGGCTACACGACATATTCATAGGATTAGGGTAGTCAACTTGCGATTTGTATGCAGGGATTGAACCCATATCGCTAAACCGGCCCAAATCGGCAAATTTGACCAGAATTGGCAATACAAGTAGCCTCATAAACCGCTAGTTAGCACAAGTTCATTTTGGTTGAAGGATTAATATGTCGTACGCACTTATGTTTTAAATTTCGGCATTATATTTTTAAAATAATGTCAAAATTAAATTATTTTAAACTAATATTGACATACACCTTTTCCAGTCCTAATTCGTCAAGAGAAACATTTTTTAACAAATCCAATATCGTGAAGAGCAAAATCAAAATTGTCTACGAACTCTTTAAAACTAATAATCGTTCTTGAAACGCCTCAAATTATTTTAGACAGGTAATATCTTACTTGAACTTCGGTTCGCGCCAACAATGCGCGCTCTCGTTCATCATTTTGGCGCCTTTGGAGCTCTCCGAAGTGGGTGGTGAGCGTGCGCCCCGCGCCACAGCAGTACCAGCTTCCTCACTTGTGCTTTTACCTCCTATATAACTGATCGCACTACGATGCCAGCATGGAAGTACGTCCGCTATGGGCTCGAGATCAAGCTCCGCGTCATTGAAGCTGCACGCAGAGGCGATGTGTGGGAGGCCGTCGCAGAAGAGCTCGGAGTCAACTACAACACCGCGAGAGACTGGGTGCGTTACCACGTGACGCATGGAGAACCTCTATGTGCTCTTCAGCGAGGTGGCAAGAGAGGCAACAAGATGACGCCGGCGGCGCTCGAGTTTTTGCTGGACAAGCTGCGTGGAGACCCGGACCTTACGCTGCGTCAGCTTGCAGACTTGCTGGAGCAGGGGGCTGGCATTTCGGTGGTGCCGCAAACCGTGAAGAAACATGCCGACGGCGCGTGCTTCACGCCGAAGCAACTGCACAAGGAGCCGCAATACATGAACACCTTGGTGAACAAGCAGAAGCGCCGCGACTACCTTATCCAGCTGCAGCAGTATCAGGCCGCTGGTAAGTCCTTTTTGTATATGGACGAAACCAACTTCAATCTCTGGGCTACTCGGACCCGTTGTCGCAGTCTTCGAGGACGTCGTGCGGTGAAGAAGGTGTTCGCTGGCGGGGGCCAAAACATGCACGTCATTGCGTGCATTTGCGAGCATGGCCTGATGTACTATGAAACGCGCTTTGGCTCCAATCGGTTCGCCAACACGAACGACTTCATTCGGAGTCTGCTCCGCTACGTGCCTGACTCAGCTTGAGCGGTGTGGTGCTCGTCTTGGACAACGCACCCTGCCACTGCCGAGCTGTGGCGGTCTTCGAAGAGACCGAATTTCTGGATGCGAAGCTGCTTTGCCTCGGACCATACTCACCCATGCTCAATCCCATAGAGATGTAAGTTAATCCGAGGTGCAACGAAGTGAACCCGGATAATTAGTTTTCCGAATGTAGGAAGGCTCAAGAATCCAACTCACTACCAGCGGGCTGAAACCTCTGCCAGATAAGACCTGCAAGCATCGACAAACGACCAAGCGAGCCAGCACACTCTGGATCTGGCCCCGCAAACTCAAGCAACACGCTGACACGAGTCGCGCTCACTTCGTGAAGACCAGACCGGAGCGGCCGTGACCGGAACAATCCCGCGCAAGCCCAAGCTTCAGGCCATCGGCGCGCTAGCCAATGTTCAACCCTCCCACCATCCCTTAGGGCTGCCATTCGGCACTTTGCTCTCAACCAAAGCACCTCATGACTTTGGCCCATTAACACAATGAAAACACTTTAATCCCCCCACGCCTGGATGCATCGAGGAAAATGTATTCTCTACCTTCAAGAGCGCGATGAAGGCGTTCATGACTAACCACCGTATGGGAATCCTCGATGTTCCCGCAGGCGTGACGATGAAAGACCACCGCCAATCATTCCTACAGACAGCGGCGCATCGCTACCCCCCTCAAGTGACCACTGTGGAAAACTGTCAGGCGTCGCTTTCACACCATGGCGAGCGATCTCCAGGACATACCGGTCGGGACCTGATTCTTGCTAGTGAGGCGTGTGCCATTTGATGCATTTGTTGAGTGAATTAGATTTGACAGTTATTTATTTTCAATGGACAAAAATGAACTTGATTTTGCTCTTCACGATATTGGATTTGTTGTTGCGCGAAAACGTGTTTCTCTTGACGAATTAGGACTGGAAAAAAAAGGTGTAGTATTATTGAATAAACTAGCGGAGCATCACGGTCGCTGCGCTCATGTTGCTTTAGGGTCGCCCCCCCCCCAAAAAAAAAACTATGCTGACCACAGAGTTTTGGACGACGTCCCCACTTGAGGAATTTGAGTACAAATCCGCTTGCAAATTCTAGCGCTTTATTTCCCCTTTCACGCTCCCCGATTTGCTGGCTATTTTGCAAACAACATAAGTACCATTCATACGTTGTTATTAACGGTAGACTGATACACCTGACCTGTGGTTCGAATGCCAGTACACTTGTATTTTACTTACTTAGGTAAGTGTAATAGCAGAATGTGGACACTGGCACAACGAAAAGTGAATAAGGGGTTAATTTTCGATGTTTCAATCTCGTGGTGTGTTCATTTTCAGAGTGAAATTATTCCAGTAATCTTTCGCGATCCATGTTAAAATTCTTCCTCCAGATGCCCCAGCCGCAATGAAACATACATAATGAACGATAACTAGCTCAAAATAATGTAGTTGAGGCTGATATCGTACCATCACACATGCATGTAGGGTATCAAAGCAGAGCTGTGACGCCCGAGATCGACCCAACAGAAGTGTAATTGAGTGGGCTAATGCATTTGTTTAGTCGAACATTTTTTCATGAGCAACGCAATGAATGAATTAACGCAGACTAGAAAGGAGCAAATAATCGGCGCCTATAGCGTGCAGGAAAGACTTGGAGCTGTCTGATTTCTTCAAAGCGAAGTAGCAGGCGATGTCGAACGGGTCAAAAGAGAGCCATTGTTGCTACCAAGAAGCACCGACACGAACTCCGGCTCGTACACCCCAGCTCATCGTCCAGCTCGTCATCCGCGCATAGCCTTCAATGTAATTTACAGAAGTTGCTGGACTACAGTACCCAGTCATCAGCTTGCAAAGCTGCTTGCTTCTTGGCGTAGCGTTGGCGCTTCATTGAGGCTCTGCTTGTTGTTGCTTCGACTCCCGAAGGGCCACAGACTTCTTGCCGCAGAGCGACCCTTCTTACGACAGCATAAGGTTTGAAAGGCAAATAGGCTTAATAAAGGGTCCTAAGCGGATCCAAATAAGGGTAAAATGTCACGTTTAAGTCTATTTCTGATGTCCTCCATACTAACGGTCGAATTTGCTGTTTCATAACTTTGACCATCTGGTTTTATGGCATCCAAAGATAGTGACGTCGGCTCAGCTCAGGAAAATCCGTGCCGATACCACCTTCCGATAAGCATCCAAATGTTGTTTAACCGAGGTATTTTTTTTCATTTTTTGGTCCCCGTGTGAGCGAATCTAAATTGTGACCCTAACCCATTCGTAGAATTAATGTAAAAAGTAATGCGGAGTGTATATAAGAGACGTAAAAACTCCATAAAACGGAGTCTCATGATTATAGGGGGGACTTCGTCCCCAAATACATGTATATTGTCGGAACGCGTCGAACGCTTTTGTCGGAGTGCACATGTGAAATGCCGAGAATAATTTTGTATACCATATGTGGTAAAGTCTACATATTAATGACGAGTAAATGAATGCTTTTGCTACAGCCGTTTGGTTTCGCTCTAGAACCATGTTTCCAGTATTTGCAACTTCACTTTGGTGTACTTAGTGAAATAGAAGTGGCGCAGAAAGACAGTACTGTATGCTATTATTAATAAGGGCGCTGGCGTTACGCGAACGATGGCACGCACCAAAATCCATAGCACCCGCCTGCTCTCTATTTGGGAATGTTAGCCACACGAGGAGCCACCGCAAGGGGTGCGTCAAGTACAGCCACCGGAATGCTCAACGACACCGGCGCAAATTTCCTGGCTCAAGAAACTCCCGACATTTTGTACATATATTGTGTATTTCATGATTAAATTCATCTACCGGTACTTTTGCCGATGAGCTGGTAATTCATAAAACGGCGGGCAGGGCTCTGTTAATAACAGTATCCCCTCCGTTTCAAAACGAAAGCATGAAACAAGGCCTGGTCTGAGTATGGAGGGGATTAATACCACACGACGAATTGCCTAGCCCATACGAGGCAAGGATCCTTCTGTCAGCCCAGGGCAGGGAAACTCGGGGTTTGCGCACTTTATGGACGTGGCAGCGAGCTGCTTCAGAGGAGTCTTTAGGTGCTGAGAAATTGCAGAGTGAATGCTCCATCGCGAGACGCGCAGTCTAGGACGCTTGTGCACAAGCGTACAAAGTTGCACCCACGGACTCGCTGCTACTGCGAATACCGCCAACGCGTTCGACGAACCGCTGTGGCGATCATCGTTAGCGAAATCACAGGCGACTTTACCAGGGCTGGGAAAATTTTAATGTTAGATTAATATCACATCAAATTCTACCATATTTTTTAATAATTCAATTATTTCCTTGACTTGATACCAATTTCTGAATAGGAAAACAACTGGACAAGCAGTAGAAAAGGCGACAAAGGCTCTCAGAAGGCTGTAAAAGCAAACAAAGGCTAGCGAAACAGTTTGTACACGAAAAAAAAGCAATTTTAGTCGCTTTAAAAATCGAATGCTCGATAAATACCCCCACGAAAGCGCCGTTAAACTGTGAATATAATTCTAAAAATTGGTGAAACAATTGTTAAAATCATTAATTTTTGAAAATAATGCTTTTAATGCATAGTTTCAATAATTTAATATTTCGCAGCCATGGACCCTGTAGCCAAGTGCGTTAAGTAACTTTAAAGTATTCCTAATGCATTCCCACCACGAAAAACAATGAAGTACATGTACTTAGACTCATTAATGGACTAAATCATGAGTATTCCCACTTGGAGATCGGAGCCACCCGGCAGTAACAGCCTCAGCTACGCCTACAGTGGTATCGATAGCGGTGAGAAGAAAAAATCATTGCCTTGAGCTTGCTGGCCCCAAACGCTGCACGTGGTATCAGTGCCCGTCATTGTTATGATTATGGACTGAATGCCCTTATTACTCGGGCATCTATTGTTTCATCCCTTCGCTCCTTAGTCCATTGTGTCACGGATCCTTAGTCTCCGTTGGATAGTACATAAATTATGGGACGCAGGTTACGAGAAGTAGATTACGGGACGGATGCTAGTTGCCGAGGAGCACAACAGAGTGCCCTACTTTCATTTTAACGTTATTGTCTTTTTGGCTAAACGGACCTCAAAAACTATCACTTTTCATATCGACTATAGGGCTACGAGTTAAAATAAAGGGGACCAACACCGGGGTTCATACGTTATTCCGGGGAATCTACCGCCACCGATCGGGACCGGATTTGACCACTTCTCACCTTTTTTGGACCCGAATGATTCCCCCGGCATTCCTTTTGTGTAGAGCAAGCACGCCCTAAAGAAGAAACGCGCTCACCCAGCAAGAAGTCGAAGAGGTTGGAAGGCCTCGCGGACGGCCACCTCGAGGCCACGCTACAGCTGTCTATCCTATGGATACGACTGCCGAGAGCCCGGCGTTCTGTCGCGGCGACGTCACTGTGGAGCGCTGCGTCCGGCATGAGTGGGTCTCTGTCTCTGGCTAGCGGTGCGTCATCGTCCTCGTCGAGCGGGTCTGTGCGTCTATCGACGGGTGCGGCGGCCGAGTAGGCAACATCAAGCTGTCCGTGGGCAGTGGCGATACGGCTAAGGGCGGCGGCGCGTGCTGGTTTGAATACGACGAGCACCGCTGCGGGCGGCGTGGGTGGCGACGTGGGCGTGTCCAGCGGCGCGAGCAATAGCTTCACGAGCTGATGCACACTCCGGATGGCGGCGTTGGCGCAAACAGCACGGCCGCTTCGTCGGGCCTGATCAAACTGACGACGGGCTGGGCTCGGCGGGCGACTTGTGGCAACGGCGGATCCGTCTTGCTCAGCGTAGACACGGGCTGCAGCGGTGCTGGCGAGGCTATCTCGCTGCGGTTTGGCGACACACAGGCTGGAACAGGAGCGACTCTTGCAGTGCAGGTGACGTGTCTGACTGCGGGGGCGAAAGTGGCCCTGCCGTCTTCGGTTTGAGTGCTGACGAGCAGCAGCAAGTAAACGTTGCGATGGTCGCTGCCCAGAGACAAGTGCCCAACCTGATCAGGAAGAACCTCGTCATCAGATGCCGCAAGCCCGTGTCCTCCGTGTTTGAGCTGCTGCTGCCGCCCGTGCTGACGCCCTCGCTCGTGTTCATCGCCAACCTGGACTCGATCTTCGGTACCGGGGGCAACTACAGCAGCTCGTCCGAGGCGGCCACGCTGTCGAGCACCCTTATGTACACGGGACTGGATTCGCCGGCGTACACGGACTACGGAGCGCTGAGTACCAACATGCCGACGTTCTACAGCAGCGGCCAGAGCGTGAGGCACTTCCTGCTGATCAGCTACATCAAGTTCGTGTCCACGACGACGGCCATGATGATCGAGAAGAACCGGAGACGTCCACGAAGGGCTTGACGCTGGCGTAGCGCTCGATGGCGAGCAACGCAAGCGGAAGACGTACGGCAACCCAGCGCTCAGCGTTCTGCGAGGACTGCGCTGCGTTCGAGATTGCTAATTGGGAAGCACATCACGCTGTGGCTGAAATGCTAGCCAGATTGGTGCAGCTCACAAGAAGAACAAAATGTAGTGTTTTGATGGATTAAACCTGTGTGAAGTAATGATCTAATCTAATCGATTCTACTTGACTGTCTCGGTTGCTCTTTGGTTGTGTGCAGTAGGGATTTCGAGTGAGGTCTCCGCACTTCTTTCGCTGACGGCAGCTGTTGCACGAGGTCTCTCTGCGCGTGCGCGACGAAATAAGTGGTGCGTTGCTGTTCGTCGATAACTTGGGTGGGGGCTTCTTATCCTTCAAGCGGCAGCGCAGCGCATTGCTCGACAGCGGCAGGTGAGGATAGTACTTCGTATAGACTGTGTGGATGTATTCCCACTTCCCATTTGAGTTCGGAATTGAATTTGCAAGTTCACGCAGCATTTTGATGTGGTCTGGTGTTATCGTTGCGTGCTGCAGGGGCGGTGCTGTTGTAGCTTGGGCGGCTGACTCCTCGCCGTCGTGCTGCGGGATCCTCGCAGTGTCGCTGCATTTGGGCAAGGTGTTTCCAGCTGAATCTCTGTACGATGGCGAGACGTCCGGAGTCCCGTCCGCTGTGGCAAAAGTTGGTGGTGCTGGCAGAGATGTAGAGTCTGAAGATTGAAGAAGCTCTTCGGCGGTCCCCTGTGGAGCCTGTTGAGCAGTACCGGAAGGTTGTTCAGCGAGTACAGGCTGGGATTTATCTCGGTGAGAAGTGGTGGAGCGAATGCTGGCCAGGATTTCAGGGGTCAGCTTCAGCTTGATTTTCAAGTTGGCACCGTAGTTCTCCTGCTGCTTCAGATTATCCCATCGCGATGGCAGGAATGGCTGTGATTTTGGGTGAATGCCAGCGCATTCACAGCACGCAAAGTCGTACACCATCACGAAGACTTGTCTCTTTTTGCGGACACCGGACAATTTTCGAAGCGCGGTCCTTCTCCCGTGCAGTATTGGCGTCACACGGAGCAGATCGCGATTTTGCTGTGAACCCATCGATCTTTGCGGACAAAGTGATAAAGCTGCGTCGCTTCAGCCGTAACTTGTGATTGGAGTTCGAAGACACCACAATATTGTGCATGATGGTTGTCACCATGGCGCAACCTGACCAGCTCTGCCCCGCGGCCTTTTGTTCCACGAACACCTGCCTCAGAAGCGCGTGCTCCTCACTAGAGAACCCAGCAGCAGCTTCATAATCGAGCTCATTGAGGCACAACGAGTTGAAAAAAGCGGCGAAGGTGATCTGCTTTGCCAATAGCTCTCGGATCGTGGTGCTGTGCTGGTGGGATCTTTGAAGGCTGCTTTCCAGAGCTTGAGCGTCAATATTTGTACCCTCAAACATTTGCTGCCACTGATCGAATCCAAAATCAAGGGCTGTTGCTGAGCGATACGCGGGCTGCTGCAAGGGTTTCGACACGAGCCTGCTGACATACTCAAGCTGCGGTGAGTCTGCAACGACTCCACGGCATAGCATTGCTGTCTGGGCTAACGTCAAGATGTCGGCGTGCTGCAGAGGCGGGTTCCGGCCATAGCTCGATCCAACTTTGAGATTATGCTGCAAAATGTACAAATCCAAGATACGTAGTCCGACCTCAGCAGACACAGATCGAGCCAGAAGTTTTTTCAGCGCGGAGTGTATGCCTTCAAGCTGGCTGGTTGACACGATACGAACGTCCTTGCCGCCTCCCTCACTGAACACGTTGTTCTCCACGTACAAATCACCGCGCTTGATCTGCTTCAAGTTGCTGTCCACGCTGCCTTGCCGCTGCAGCTGATATCAGTAAGGGCTACGTCTTGAAGTGCTGTAACAAACCTCGCCTCCATCTCTTCTGGCGGGCGCAGCTATCCATCAACACTGTACATTGCCTCATGTAATTTCTTCGACAAAACCTTTTTTTCTGCCTTGCCTTTCACTTTCTCTGTGAAACGCTGAACAACATGAAAAGGATCATGACGAACTTTCTCCGACGAACCAAACGCCGATGCAGCCAAGCTCCGAATAGCATTCGCGTTGTCGCTAATGAGAAACCACTCGTCCTCGGTATTCACCGCGCCCTTGACATGCTCTAGCAACTGACGCGTCTCATCGTGATTCTCTGAGCGAGTCAAACGCCGGCCAACAATTTGGCCAATCTCATTCTGGAGCAGCAGCAACATTTTTGCGTCCGTCATACTCTCTCTCTTGCCAGTCCCACCGGGTCATACCTTGAGTCTCTTACAGAATTTGACTGAGTGGTCGATCCGAAGCACCCGTTTCACGTCGAGGCTGCTCATAATCTGCTCGCAAAGAGCGCTGTAGATGCTGGTAGACTGCATCCACGCTGCGGATAAGGTCTCAGCACCGACAGGCGTTTGCTGCGAGCAGTACTGAGCCACCGTTGGTGGAGCCGGCGCCAAATACGTGGGATTGGCCAGCCGCAGCTGCGCAACACGGTCAGCAAAGAGGCATGGGAGTTTATTGTACCGCTTTTCACGTCGCCGTTGTATATTCTCCACCGTGCGCGATAATCCATGAGGCGACGTCATCCCCTCGTGCACCAGTTCCATTAGTTGCTTCGAAATTCCAAACTTCTTTGTCATCACATAGGGGAAATGCATGAGTAGGCGGGCTTCGCGCTGGATGTAGCTTGCTGTCACCGTAGAAAAACAGCTCTTGCGGTCGCCGGCACACTGATACTTGATATACAGGAGGTGGCTCTTGCTATCGACGTCCTCAACTGTTCTTTGCTTGTACTCCTTCACCCTAGGTGTGCATGAGCAGCCTGGCATGATGCAGTACGGTTTTTGGGTAGGGTTAGCGCACTCAGGAACCCAGACGACTACAGGCCATTGAAACAGGGAAGAGAGCAACACGTCGCCTCGGATGGCTTCGGGGTGCTGAACTACAGGAGGGAAGCTCTTCTTGCTCAGAGCCTCATGGATTAGTCGCTTGACCTCACGCTGCTCCAGGCGTAGCTTCGCCAACATCCTCCATCGTTTCTGCTCAATTCTAAACTGAACTTATAAACTAATATGCGGCGGAGTATCGGAGTTCGGAGTTCGGTGTCGGATATGTCGGGGCCTGTCGGCCCAACATATCGTATAAACCCCAACACCCGATTTGAAAAATCGGAGGGATGGTGATCCGACTCCGCTTTTCAATTGAAAGCGATACTGTAGCGCTTTTCGAGCCGACGTCCCAGGTGGCGAACAAATCACCGCCATTCGGGACCTCGAATGAAAACGAGAGCAACACCGAAGGAGCAAAGCACAGGAAACCGGACTCCGATTTTCGGGAAAGCTATAGTATAACGAATTACTGACTATCTCCCTTGTTTTAGTAAATGATAATCGGACTTGAAGTCCGATTTTGCTGTCGGCAACTTAAACGAAAGGCACAATAATCACTTTTCAATTTGCCATCGTGCAAGCCTATCCAGTACGCATTGACATTGGCAGCCGGAAAACAAGACGCCTATTAAGCATTTAATCATTTTTAAGTCTCTTTGATGCCTTCACTCTCCGCAACGCGGTTAGCAGCCACTGTATGATTTTCAGTGTTCTCGCGGAGCAGCCGAGCTAATCCATGTTTTTTAGCTGATCACCAATACTTCGAAGTAAAACACCTGGCGTTGCCTCATATCTTCTTTCGGCACTCCTTGAATGGCGGCCTGCAGCCATAGTCTGTGCTCGTTGTATGTAGTGCGGCATGTTGGAACCTGCAAAATGGTGCAGGGTAAAGCCTGGTGAGATCAGGGACTTGCAAAATAAAAACATACAGGGCAGTTTAACTTACTTCGGGTCTTCGAGCTTCTTCTTGAGAGCAAGCACGCGGCTATCGTACGTAAAGTCCTCGGGCCGCGCGTTCTCCAGGTAGCACATGCCGTACTCGTCCCACCACTTCTTGGCGGCCTGCCGTTCGCTCTCGATTTGAGCGGTGAGGTTGGCCTGCTTGGACACGTAGTCGATCTCCTTGTCGTTGCCCTTGGATGCCATTGCAGCACTCGTCACTCGGCAACAAATCAAATGCTTGGGTGCCAGCTTCGATCTGGACGGGGCTATCATGAATAGCTATTTATTCTTGGTCCTGAAAGCCTCGAAGTCTTATCCATCCCACGCTCCAGAAATGGAGTGGTTTTTGCAAAAACCAAAGATTTTGCTTGAAAAATTGAAACCTCACACACTTTTGTTGTTTCAATTTACGTTCAACATGTTCAAGACTTCAGCCAGTTTATGATGAAATACTTGCGGTGAAATCCTGTGCGCATAACCACTTAGTCCATCGACTTGAGATCGAGCGAGACGGTGAATGCCGCTTCGGTTCGCTCCCGAATTTCCTCCACCGTCGTAGTCGGGGCAATTTCCACCAGCACGAGGCCCTTTCCTGGCACCACGTCGAACACTCCGAGTTCCGTGATGATAGTGTTCACCACACTCTTGCCAGTGAGCGGCAGCGAGCAGCTCTTGAGGATCTTCTTGGCGCCGCCCTTGGCGTTGTGCTCCATGGTGACCACGACTCGGTTGCCGCTGCCCACGAGGTCCATAGCGCCACCCATTCCCTTGACCATCTTGCCCGGGATGATCCAGTTGGCCAGGTCGCCGTTCTCCGCGACTTGCAGAGCGCCGAGGATGGTCAAGTGCACGTGGCCACCGCGGATCATCGCGAACGACTCGGACGACGAGAACGTGGAGGATCCGGGCAGGAAGGTCACGGTCTCCTTGCCGGCGTTGATCAAGTCCGGGTCCTGCTCGCCTTCGTTCGGGTACGGGCCCATGCCCAGCAGCCCGTTCTCACTCTGCAGAATCACCTTCACTCCGTCCGGGACGTAGTTGGACGCCAATGTTGGCAGACCGATGCCAAGGTTCACGTACATGCCGTCCTTGAGCTCCTTGGCCGCGCGGCGGATGATGCGCTCGCGGTCCGGCGAGATCTTGTGCTGCGATTTCTGCAACAACAGCAACAGCAGCAACAACACATAAGCAACTTGATCCTACAATTGAAGCCTATTTGGTGTTGCCACGAACCTTTGCATTGGCGAGGGTGAGCTTTTCGATACGTTTCTCGGAGCTGGTGGCCTTGAACACGCGTTGCACGTAGACACCAGGCAGGTGCACCTCATCTGGCAACACATAACCGCATGAACAGTGTTAACACTATCCTAAAAAGCAACACCAATTCACGTGACCGACTTCAACTTACCTGGGTGGATCTCTCCCGGTTGCACCAGTTCCTCCACTTCGGCGATCGTAATCTTGCCGGCCTTGGCCGCGTCCACGTTGAAGTTGCGCGCGGTTCCCTTAAACACCAAGTTGCCGTCCGTGTCGCCCTTCCAGGCCCTCACGAGGGCGAAATCCCCCGTGATGCCCTCCTCCATGACATAGTTGCGCCCTTCGAACTGGCGAACCTCCCGCGGGGCGCTGGGGATGTCCACGGAGCCGTCGGCCTTGAGCTTGATGGCGAATCCGCCCTCCTGGATGATAGTGCCGTACGCCGTTGGCGTGAAGAAGGCGGGGATGCCAGAGCCTCCGGCGCGGATACGCTCGGCAAGGGTGCCCTGGGGGGTGAGTTCCACCTCTAACTCGCCGGTTAGGTAAAGTTTCTCAAAGAGCGCGTTCTCCCCCACGTAGGACGAGATCATTCGCTTAACCTGGCGCGTTTGCAACAGCAGCCCGAGCCCGAAGTCGTCCACGCCGGCGTTGTTGGATACGCAGGTCAAGTCTTTGGCTCCCTGCAACACAAGATGAACATGCAAATGATTACGTATTGTCTCTAAACACTCGCAACACCCTCCAGGTTAGCACTAGCCTAACCTGTTTCACGAGCGCCTGGATGCTGCTCTCAGGGATGCCGCAGAGGCCGAAGCCTCCCACGACGAGCTTGGCACGCGACGGGATGTCCCGCACCGCCGAGTCGGCGTCCGGGAAGACCTTGTGGTGCGAAGAAGCGAAGCGCGCGCTCAGCGCCCGCGGGAGCGGCAGGCGCGCGGCTCTGGAGGCGTGGAGGGAGGTCAGGCGCAGCATGGCGATAGAGCGAAAGTGGTGTTGACGTCGGCCACTGCAAGTCGTGCGGTGCGGAACGCGGAATGCCAATCTTGTCTGCCCTTCTCGCAGCTTCAATGTAGCGTCGTAACAAGACGCTTTGATGCAAGAATGCAAAAGTTGCTGTGCACTGCGATGTAAACTTGATTATTGTATGATATGGTGAAGACTTTATGGTTATTGTATATATGGATAACCTTGGGAATCCGGTTGCTTTACAAACATCCATTTATGTACTACTACTAGTAGTAGTAGTATGTTAAAAAGAACATAAAAAAAAAAAAACAAGGATCAAAGTTTAGGAACAAGTACACAAGGATCAAGTACACATGGCACGGTTGACATGCATCACCTTCGCCTTCGGGCGCAACAAGCTTCATGGCAATCGTCTAATATATTGTTTGTATATCCCTCTCCTCGAGACCGACGCAGAAAGCACAACAACTAAATGCAGGCCAGCCTGCTTAGAAGTCCTTCTCCGTGAGCAGCGAGATGACCTGGGTCTTCTCGTCCGTGCTGGCCTTGATGGCGCGGCCGCGGCCGTCCAGCACGGCGATCTCGACCACGAAGATGCAGGCCGTGACCGAGGCGCCCGCCTGCTGCACGAGGCGGATGCCGGCCTCGCACGTGCCGCCCGTGGCCAGTAGGTCGTCCACGAGCAGCACGCGGTCGCCCTTGTTGACGGCGTACGCCTGGATGCTCAGGTGGTCGCCGCCCTCGCTGTTGTCGCCCTTGTACTCCTTGAAATACTCGATCGTGTCGCTCACGCTCGGCATCTTGTCGGGCTTGCGCAGCATGAAGACGCGCTTCTGGAAGAGCGCGCCCAGGTAGGGCGCGAACAGGAAGCCGCGCGCGTCGAAGCAGCCGATGGCGTCCACCTGGTCCATGAAGGGCGTCACGGCCTGCACGAACAGGTCGAAGGTCAGCTGCAGCTTCTCCGGGTTGGCCAGCAGGCCGCCCACGTCGAAGAACTCGACGCCCTTAAAGGGCACGACCGGGATGGTCTTGGCCAGCGAGGCCAGCGCCTGCTTCTTGACCTCCGGGTCCTCCAGGTTCGGCTTGGTCGGGGCCATGGTCTCAGATCCGAGGCGGATTCGCTAGTGAGGCAGGCACGCGCGGAGGGGAGACCGCAGCACTGGCTCACGCGCGCGTTGTGGACCAGTCAGCGCCCCCCGCTTCGGGGGGTCGATCACGCAGCAAAAGTGGTTGCGCGCAACGTGCATGCGTATCACTGGCACATGTCGCTGTCCAAGCAGCAAAAGGCGTCGAGTGTCGAGACTTCATCTTTGATGCAGGAAGAGCGCCATGCGCTCGGAGGAGATGACACCAACCCCGCCGGATTGCCAGCACTGCTGGCCCAGCAGGCAGAGTCAACGTCGGTCCGCTCTGCATGCGCCGCCACGTCGGGCATGCCGCGTGATTTGCCGCATGGAGCGAGGAGGTCCGGCCATTACTGCCGGCACCCGGCCAGATCCTGCTGGGGCCGATTTCTTGAAGGTCAAGTGCCGAGAGCTCGAGAGGAGAAGGCGTTGGGTGCGCTGAAGCGGGGGGTGTTTGTCTATTTAAGTTAGATAGATCTGGGTATGATACTTTATGGAGATCTAGGCAGCTAGCCGCCTCTGGCAATCGAGGCGGCTGCTGCGCAGCCATGCCATTTGTCGCCATAATACTCAAAGCTTAGCGACAACAGATCATGGGTGAGGTAAAGCGCGATCTTGCCGTGTCCTCCAGAACGGTGAACACTTGTTGCTTGATGCGCAGTGTGCAGGTAGGTACGAGGCGCGAATGCTCGTGTTTCATAAGCGAACGACTCACTCGTCGTCGTTGACGGCGGCCGTGAAGAGCACCAGGCCCTTGTGGTTTGAGTCCAGCAGCTGACGCAGGCGGCCCTGGTTCTTCATGTAGTACTCGTCGGCGAGGCGGCGCAGACGGACGTTCTCCTCGCGCAGCGACTCCTTGGTCGAGAGCGTGTCGAGGAACATCTCGCGCAGCTTGACGTTGTCTCCGCGGCCTGCAGCTTTGGCGGCCGCGTCCTCGTGCTGCATGGCGCGCAGAGCCGAACGGAACTGCTGCTCCAGCGAGTTGGCCTCGCTACGCAGAGACTTGATGGTGTTCTGCATTGAAGACACGTGAACAACCACAGCGCGTGAGCTCCTTCAGTTCCTGGATTTTGTCGACCGCACAACAATGGAGTTGACAGGCGCGGTTGAACTTACGATCTTCTTGTAGTAGCAGCGCTTCACGATAAGCCTCTGCTTGGCGCGGCGCTCGGACTCGGACAGCTCCGGGAAGAGCGCACGCATGCTCCGCTTTTTGCCATTAACAGCAGTCTTGTTGCCTAGGGATCCGAATGAGGAGCCGCTCGCTTCCGTGGGCTCGCGCGGATTCATGATGTTCCCGATGGTCATGAGCTGCTGCTGCGGGTCATTGTAAGGCGAGAGTCTGTGCGGGGGCCTCTTCATGGCCGCCTTCTCCTGAATCCTGTTGGTCAAAGGGAGCAGCAACACGAGAATACAAGTGTTAAGCGAGCCCTGTTCATTGATAAGGCAAAGAAGGTAAGCAGTAGACGAACTTTGAGAACGACCTCAGTCGAGTCGAGGTTTGGACGGAGCGGGGCGACTGCTTGTCTTCAGGGCAGGATGCGGCGTGCTCGTCGTCGTCCACCATGGCCATCATGGCCATTGCAGCCTCGTGGCAGTCATCGACGCTCGTGCCACGCTCTGGAGCCGACACGGATCTGCCCAGCTTCACCTGGCCGCGGTTGTCGGCATCCGCCAGCTGAGTGTCGTCCTCTCCGATGTTGTTCAGGAGATCCACGATGCGGAGCATTGTGCCAAATGCTTGAGGAGAAGGAGAAGGAAGAGGTAGGAGTGGGGGGTGTACACGGGGTGGTGGGTGCCCGACGTGTGAGTGAGAGATCGCTAGGTAAATAGCAGCACCAGACGCAGCAAACGGAGGTTTGGCGCGCGCAGGTGAGCTAAGTGACTGCCAGGGGGCAGATTCAATTGTGAGACTGTCCGTATTCCGTCCTCCCCCATCACGGCCAGCCCGGGCCGCTGGATTGCTAGCGCTGGCCTTTGACTCAGCGATTAGCTCGGATCTCGGACTCGATTCTTGTCGCTCGCCCGGGCGCGAGTAACTTTCATTTGCGCCACACACGCGCGTCGTTCTGTTGTGCAAGGTGGGATCAAAAGCTCACGACACCACGCTACGTGTGTAGCCATGAGCGCTACAAACGGCGGACCGACCATGCAGCTCGGCCACTCCCTGTCGTCGGCAGTCTCGCCGGCGAGCAGACGCTGGTGGTGACCGCGATGTCTCTAACCAAACATCCTGCAATCCACACTGCAGCACTTGGCTACGGCCTTGACCGGAGTGGTCTTGACACGTTACGTACGCGGCGGAAGATCGGCTAGGCTGCTCGCTTGTGGCGACCAAGAGTGGAGTGCAGGCGTGCTTGCAACCCGTTCGAAAGCGGTGGCAGCAGTGGGATTCAAGACTATTTCATCGTGTGACTCGGGGCGGCGATCGATGTCGCGCGCGCGTGACAGCTCCTCCAGCGACACACACCGAGAAGGTTGGCCACTCCCAGTAGTAATCGCTGCCGCCGTTGGTGCCTGGCCGACGCGTCGACCGATCAGCGAGGAGCTCGGAGCGCTGCGGCGCAGCAATGACCAACATCGTCGGAAGCTGTCGCGTTGTTGCCAGCCCGATGTCAGTGATACATGGGTGTGGAGCCCTGCATTGTTGAGGCGCACCCTGTCAAGATGAAGAGCTGTCGGTGGTTGTGAGTTACGCACTTCACGTTGGACATGGACGGCAGGAACTTCCTGCCAGGAAGGCAGCACGAGAATGACGGCAGCTCGCGCTGTGCAGCCTGCAACCGCCTCTTCATCCATCACGCTGGTTCGCCTCACCCAACTGGTGCGATGAATTCCTTGAGCTTGACGGTCAAAGTTTGACCGGCCATTGCAGCTCTGTCACACACGTTGACCTCTTGTCTACGTGAAGATCAAGCGCCGACGAGGAGGCCAAAGACCCATTAGCTATGATGTTTCCTAATTGCTTGGTCCCAGGGATCCCGAAAATACAATATACCGGTATACTGATTTTTGCTGTAGAGCTGAAATACGTAATTTTTGAAATGTGTCAACATAAAAAATAAATTATTTTACTTGATATTGGGGAGTTGTATTACATATCTGCATTTTTTAAGCAAGTGTGTGGACACCAACCAAAAATAAATATTGGTGTTTCTTTCGGATGTTCGGGAAATAAATTATTGACACCAAAATATAAATATATTGAATTGCATATTTATTTTTCGGGATCCCTGCTTGGTCCTGCCTGTAGTGGCATCGGAAGGGAATCCACGGTGAACACCAAAGGCTCCGCTACTTTTGACACTCATGTTGACAGCTCATGCCACTGTTCAGAAGCCAGTTCAAACTTCAAGAAGTCAGCGGCAGCAGTCATTTCAAGACAAACGTCTTGATTGTCGTCTGTGCGATTTGTTCGTCAGCTGGAGCGGCCTGCCTGCCTACCTGAGTGTCGACACCTTCCACCGCCATGAACTCAAATTGTGCCGAGACCAACGTGGCCTGGGCCAAAGCTGGGCGTCCGGTTGAGCCTAGTTTGCCCTTGCTCAGCGACGAAGCGATCACTGGAGAGAGAGAGAGAATCCACTCGTAGCGTGTCAATCGAAGGGACACAAAATGGATTAATGGCGAGCGTAGCGTCGAGCGCGGCGTGGCACGGCGAGGGTCAAGACAGAGCCCTTGTTCAGCCTGCTTGACTCACTGTACAGCCGAGCGAGACGGTTGCCAATTGTGTCGGCGCAACCAAAGCAAACGCCGAAATTTTTCTTCGAGCTCGGCACAAGGGCGCGGGCCCACAAACGTTGATGCCGTAAAAAGTAATCTCGGTCGTCTGTTGTGGGGTTAGCTAATCAAGTGGAGGTGGTGGCACCGCACAACATTGACAATTCTACTCGTTTCAATGTGCCAAATGGACACGCAGGACGCCGTGACTGGCGCCAAGAAGCGCGTGTTGGATGAGGACCAGCGCGCCAAGAACCGACTCATTGTCAAGCGCTGCTACTACAATAAGCTGGTACGAGTTTGGCCCATTTTGGAAGTTGAAACGCGCGTTTGATAGTCGGTCTCAGCTTAAACTGAAGTTTATTCTTGTGGTTGTCGCGCGCAGAACACGCTCAGCGAGCTGCGGGATCAAGTGGAAACGCTGGAAGCCGAGTTCGAGCGTCTGATAGCTGCCCAACACGAGCGAGATGCACAGCCAACGATACTCGACGAAGCGAAAGAAGACTCAAAGGACGCCAGCTCCGCCTTGCACACTGCGTACGTGCAGTTAGCCCAGCTGAAACACGCCCTGACCAAGGAGAACGCCGAGCTCAAGCGACTCGAGGTCATGCACACTTCAATGGAGAAGCAGGTCGCCCAGTTTGCCGCCGCTCAGGACAAGGCCATCGCAGCAGCGCGTCAGGTTCAAGAGGATAAACGCGCCAACCCGATCCTTGTAGTGAACCCGCTGACGCTGGACCAGTGCAACACGATTGCGCGTGAGGCCTACGAAGAGATCCAGGCGTACCGAGAGAGCGAGACGTGCTTTACCACGGGCGCGAACATGTTTGGCTGGAGAGACCGTCACCTGCTACAGCCTGACAAGCTCACGTTCTCGCTGGAGAAGGTTTTCCTAGGGAGGTCACTGGAGGAAGTATCGATGGGAACGTGGAACGTTTTATCGCAGCCTGAGCTACTCGCAAGCATGTTCCCGCGCGACGTCAAGCCCCACTTCCACGTGACCCAGCGACTGGACGAGAACACGGTCATCTACCACCACACTCTCGAGCGGGAGGACACGGAAGTGCGAACGAGAGCGTTTATTCTGCTCATGCGCGTGGAGCTTGGGCCCGATAGATGCATGGTGCTCTATCGAAGCCTCGACCCTAAGGCTTATCTCCAGCACGAAGGTGACTTGACCATACGTGATCCGCGCGGACGCAAGAAGGTGGAGCCGCAGAAGGAAGATGTCTGGATGAACGTGTTCGTTTGGGCGATTTTTGAGCGTGTGGGTGACTGCGGAGAGCATTGCAAGGACGATTTTGGCGGTGTGATCGACGGCACAGAGCTCGCAAGCGCCGGGTGGTGGTGTCTCGAGATTTTGCAGATTGCCATGCGCGTCGAGGCCCATGTCATAGGCCCCCAGGCGCTCCTTGTGCAGTGATTCAACGGTTGAAGATGGCCAAACGCAGACCAAATGATCGATGCGTACGTAAAATTACCAGTGTGCAAACGATTATTGTACGGTACGTAGCTAAAAGTGGTAGAGATTGCTAATCCAGCTTATCATAAACATTTTTGAGTAATAGATCACCTCCACGATATTTTAATAAGGGATCCGCATTCGGTAAGCTAGGAAGATTTTTAAATGGGTCTTATGCAGAACAGGTCTTGGATTTGATCAGAGCGTGCTTTTTCTTTGAACTTGTGATTGGATCGGGAGTCATTACGGCAACTCTGCTACAACTCGACGATATCTCGTTGGGAGCTACACAGGTGTTGCTGGTAATTTATCGCAACTTATCTTTAGTGAAAATTGTCAATAGCTCAAAACATGATTTTTGTGATATCTTTATTTCCGTTTAGGTACGACGTGCCGTAGCCTCCCATTTTGTTTTACGTCAACGGGGAGAACGCGAAGCAGCAGCAGCACCATCGCGTCGGGGATGGCGACGCACGGAGCGCAAGGGGAGGCGTCTGAAGAACAAGGTGCGACACAGAAGCTTACGCGCATCCATATCAGTTGCTAACAAGTTGTGCTGTAGGGCGCCGCGCGCACGGAGAGGAAGGGGGGCCCGGAGAACAAGGTGCGACACAAAAGCTTACGTCTACCCATATCATTCGCTAACAAGTTTTGTTGCAGGGCGTCGCACTAGCTTACGGCCACGTAAGACCGTTGACTACGTCCAAGCGGCCCACGGCTACACGAAAGACGACGAGGGCGACGAAGACTATGTCGAGGAGGAGGTGATTCCGAACGAAGAGGAAGAGATCAGCGTGGAGGAAGTGGAGAAGGACGACGAGGAGGCGAAGGGCACGGAGGTGGACGACGAGAAGGCGAAGGGCACGGAGGTGGACGACGATGACGAGGGTACGGAGAACTCGGAGGTGGACGACGACGACGAGGGTACGGAGAACTCGGAGGAGGAGGACGACGAGGAGGCGAAGAACTTGGAGGAGGAGGACGGCGAGGAGGCGAAGAACTCGGAGGAGGAGGAGGACGAGGACGCGAACGAAGTGGTGGCGAAGGACACGGAGGAGGAGAGCGTGGAGGACAAGGAGGAGGTGGAGGACGTGGAGGACGACGAGGAGGCGAAGACCATGGGGGGGCGTGGAGGACGAGGAGGAGGCGAAAGGCGAAGAGATGGCGGGCAACAGCGCCATGTCCGCCGTCGAACATGCGGTCGGTCCGAACGAGAAACAAGTGGACGATGATGACTTGTTCGGTGATGATGGCGATGACGACACCAGCGCCACGCACGTGAAGGCCAAGTCGGACGGTGGCATGGCTGCTGCCGTCACCGACGATGATGACTTGTTCGGCAGTGAGGACGATGAAGAGTCGGTGAACGACGTGGTGGACAAGGACTCGGTGGCGGAGGACAACGACAAAGCGCTGGCAGCAAGCGGCAAGTGACGGGTATGTTGTACTATGTGTTGCTTGCAATGTTGAGCGTTATTGTTGTACTAATGTCTATTGGTGTTGCGTTGGTGTATTATTGAGATAGGTTTCGAAGAATCTATCCAGCAATTTGTACGCGCGGCCCGGGAAGAAGCCGAAGCTGAAGCCGCTGTCCAAGCGTCGAGTGCCCGCCGTGCAGCAGCCGCTGCTTCTTCCACGACGGCTAGGAAGAAACCTACAGCACGAAAGCGCAAGCCGTCCCCGGGTCGAAGTGGAGTTGGTGCTTCACCTCCCAAAGGTGGGAAAGGTGGGAGGAAGGAAAAGGCGCAGGCTGTTGTCACGCCAGGAAGTGACCAGCCGCCACCACGTCATCGTGAGCGCCGCCGCACTAAAACGTGGGAGGAGCGGGAGAAGATAGTCAAGGCGCACAACGCAGTCGACAATTGGAAGCCACCTCTTGCCAAGAAGTCCTTCGCCAATTGGGGCGAGTTCGAGGCAGCGCTCAATGCCTATCAAGACGCGAACTTGGTGCTCTACCGCGTTCGGAGCTCCCAATCGAAAACGAGCCACGACGGGTACGGGTTATGTTGCTGTTACAGTATGATGCTTCTATTTATATTAATGTTGCTTCTTATGTTGTTAACTGTGTTGTTAAGTCTACCCGGGGTCCAAAAGCTCCCCGATCACTTCACCCACAAGTTCAAGAAGATGTGGTGCACCCACGGCGCTAAACAATCTTCGCGAGGTGAAGGCCTACGGGAGAGTGGCCAGCGGTACACAAGCTGCGAGGCAAGCTTCACTGTGCGCTCTGTCAAGTATGTTGAGGAAGGTGTGGCAAAGTGGAAGGTGTGCATCGACCCAGAGACGGAGGTATTGTTCGTATCTATATTTTTTCGAGGGATTATATGCTAACTTGTACAACTATGCACCTTGTAGATCTACATGCACAACCACAGGACCACCAAGACCATCTACGAGTCCTACAAGCGCGGCAAATCCCTGCCGCTACCAGCAGCCGTTCGCAAGGACCTCGGTCTCATGGCCGAGGTGCAAACCAGTACGCCGGCGATCAACCGGTACCTCTCGGACAAGCTTGGTGGGTGTTCCTGGTGAACGCTCTACTTCTGGAGTTGTTGATCTGTTGTTTTTTTCTAGCTGTTTAATTTGAATGGGTATTAACGTCCTTGTATTTCGATTGATTAATATCTACAGGTATGATCATCACCCCCAGCAAACGAGAAACATACTGCAACAAGTACTAGGGTCTACGACTATCGAACGGACCCGATTGCTGCTTGATACGTTTGTTCGTGTCGATGATCATGACGTTCTGCTGGTGCAGGATCAGATGGACATCACCTGCGTCATTGCGATGCAAACTGCAGTGCAGAAGGCGTGCTTCAAGCAATGGGGCGACAGTTTAGTCATGGATTGGACGCACGGGACTAACAACTTAGGCTACCATCTTGGTTTGTATTATCTCCTATTATTTTCTATGTATAAGCTAACTCGCATACTAATGAGATGTTATTGCTTGTCGATCATTTGCTGAACATACAGGAAGTCTTGTAGTGACGTCAGCAACTGGAAGAGGCATTCCTGTGATTGACTTTCTCGCGCTCGACCAGAAGGACGGGACCATGGAACGCATTTTGGAGTTCTTCAAGCGTCACAATCCGTCATGGACCTCAATTGAGACGTTCTCGATTGATAAGGATTTCGTGGAGTGGCGAGTACTGGAGAGTGTTTCCTGACGCCAAGGTTCTTTTGTGCCAATTTCACGCCCCTACGTACTGGAGGAAGGTTTGCAGACGGCCGAAGTACAACCTGACGATGTCTCAACGCGAGCGGATGGAGCATGCATTCGGAAAGCTCATCTACTGGTACGAGGGGATTGAATGTTCAATGTTACTTGCCATGTTTTACTCAATGTTGTTCTATGTTATTGTGTTGTTGACTGTGTTGCTCATTGGGTTGCTCTGTATGTCGTTTACCATCAGCAACACAGATAGAAGTTTCAATTTAGAGCTGGAATCGTTTACGAAGGTCTGTGAGAAGGAAGGTCCAGCCCTTCTGGAATATTTCACGGCAAACTGGAAAGCGTGCGACTTGATGTGGGCTAACTATATCCGGGGAAGTACTTCTCTGCTGGCAACACTACAACCAACAAGATTGAATCAAATTGGAACCAAGTGAAGCTGCTTCTCGGCAAACGACCTCGTCTGGATGCGACTATTAGCGGTCTGTTAGCGCACCAGGGGACTATTGGTCGCCAAGTGCTCGCGACGATGAGGAAGCACGTGTCAACATCGCGACACCCAGGCGCAATTCCTGACTTCTTGACACGCGTTTCAGCGCGTCTTAGCGACTACCCGTTGTCTAAAGTGCGCTCTCAATGGGACCCCTTCATGGTGTACCTGGCGGACACTAAGTGCACGAAGCTGGACGCTGTGGGCGAGTGGGAACTCAGTACTCGGAGGAATACCTACGTATGCAACGACTATGAGTGGACGTGCAGATGCCTATTCTATTGTAGTCATCACCTGCCATGCCAGCATTTGATGTTCATCGCGGATCGTGTTCATCGGTTCGAGTATCTACCTGAGTCGACTGTCCCGCAGCGCTGGGATATGGTCGCAATGTCCGAGCTGGAGAAAGAGCTTCGAAATGGTGTCGGAGCGCTACAAGCAGTTCAAGCGTCAATGAAAGAAGCTGGAGATTCCTGGGCACATGACGGTCTGACCCAAAACGACGTCTTCCTGGATGAGTCCGAAGCAACACAAGGTGCAACAGACGCAACACAAAGTGCAACACAGCCACCACCCCAACATGAACATGATGTAGAAGCCGCAGAGAAGATCGGGCGCCACCGTCGAAAGCAACGTGGTGTTATTTATGTCAAGATGCGTCGACGAGAACGTGCCAACGTTGTGGTTCTCTCATCAGAAGAGAAATATTGCTATGCTAAAGCTGTGTTCGAGCCTGTGATGAAGCACCTAGCAGGATTGGCAACCCCAGCTTTCGTCGCAGCCTTGAAGTCCTGGAAGGACGTACATTGTTCGAAGCGGGTTGGAGACCGTTGAGACAGATTCTACTACCAGTCCTGACGAAAGCGAGGAATCCGACGATCCAGACACGTCTGACACCGCATCCGACATCACGCCGGCTGATTTAATTGACAGCATGAACTTCATCCAGGAGTTGGAGCTAGATAAAGCGGGGTCCGACAGCACGGCTTCAGCATCTAAGCGAGAGGCTACAGCAGAAAACACTGAAGCAACATTGGCGGCAACATCGAGCAAGACTAGTGGGGCAATGCTAACTAAGTCGGTGTCAATGTCCAAGGCTGTCCCTCCGCTTCTACCCAAAGCAACGTCGCCCTCTACGCCGAAGCTGTACCCAACCAAAGCGGTGTTATCCTCGAAGAAAAAGTGCTATCCTACCAAAGCTGCCGTACGTGTTAAAACGGCAGCAAAAGTTGCAAGTAAGGGAGGGATCCTGGAGGTGCTGCGTATTCCCAAGAAACCTAAGGTGCGCCACACTACCCGAACCAAACTGAAGCAAACCAAGCTGGTCAAGGGGGCGAAACCTCAAACGCTGGCTGCAATTGTCCTCCCAGACAAGAATGTGCCGTCGCTGTCGCGTGTTTTAGAGTGGGCAAACAACACTATTGACCGCAACCATGTCAGCGGAATCCTGGCAAACTACCCAACCATCCTGGACGACGACTTCATGAACTCGCGCGTCGCTCACAGCAAGCGCGATCACGTCTACGCTGACGACTACGACTACAACTTTGTGATTCCAAAGAATCTCGTCGTCAAGTTGGAAGCCGTGGTCAAAGCGGAGAAGAAGAAGCGATCAAAGTCCTAGTACTTCAACCAAACCGCGGACGACAATCATCCGAAGAGCACTACCGAGGACATCATCGCCTACTTCCCCGGAGGAACCCCGCAGTTCACCAGGTTTGTAGTCACCAAGTTGCTCATTATGTTGTACTATGCGGTGCTCACAATGTTGCTTGTTATGTTGTTATGCTTTGTGTTGATGTTTGGTACTGCTCAACACCACAATATACAGAATGAGCGAGTTTTACAACGTTGTCCGCAAGCTTGATGCGTGGAAGGAGGATGTGCATTGGCTACTGTCGACTAAATGGGACGCAATGACGGACAATCCTGAGCTTTTCGACGTGGAAACGGACTCGGACGAGCTCACAGATGACACCACAGGGGCCAAGCACGTGGCCCTGGCAAACGAAGTGCTGGAGCAGCTTGAAGGAGCTTCTCTGAGCTCCACATTCCGATTGGCAAGCGGCGCAGGCACTGTAAAGCTGGACAGATTGTTTGGGATGCTTGCGCGCAAGGAGATGCTGTCTGATACGATCATTGATTTCGCTGTCAGATGTATCTGTGACGCCTCGGAGATTGCTACGCGTTGGATACGTATGCAGCTACGTTTTGCTGTCCTGACCCGCCCCAGACCCGCATTTCGAACATGCATTATGTTGTTTTGCCAGTTTATCTGAGCAACATACACTGGGTGTCATCATTGTCAGTATCACGTACCAGGCTGAACCACCGTCAATCACACCCTACTTCTACGAGCCGCTGTGGGATCCGCAATATCGAGCGACTATCGAAGATACCTACGAAGAGACGGTAGCGCCATTTCTGCTGGGCTGGCACGAGAAGACAATGATTGGAGTGGATTATCCTGTTGTGGAGAATCGTGTGTGGCTGGATGCGCCGAGACAGCCCGATGGAACGTCGTGCGGCGTTATGGTGATAGCCCAGGTGTATTGCATGCTGAAGGATAACTTCCGATTTACCAAGGCCACAGTTTCAGCCGATGACGTTGCTGTCATGCGACTACGTATTGTGTGGATGATACTTATGCAATCTGAAGTGAGTACAATAGCGAACCAAGTAGCCAAGACCGTAGATGCAACCGACCTCAAGTTGATGGCAACCGTAAAGACTTGAATATAGCTCAATTGTGACCTCAAAGCAGTTGTATTTGTTATCGGCTTGATGTTTTCTTCGTGTTCACAACACGCGCGAAGCATTGGTCTAGTCTTGCTCGAGTAGAGCCTCGAAACACTGTTGCAGCATTACGCCGTACGACACCACGTAGCCGGTTTCACGCACAGACACCCCAAGCACCGTTGCGAGACGGACAGCTTCCTCCTTCTCGTTGGCGAGCATTGTAGCCAGCTCGTCGCGCTCGTTTAAAAGCTTGAACGAGTACTTGGCGATCTTGTCCAGTCTGTCTTCCATAGCCTCAATTACCTTGAGCCTAAACATCAACAGACCCTTGCAAACCTTCGCCCTGTGAGCTCGCGATAGACGCGTGCCTGCGTCGGTCGTGGGCGGTAGCGGTGAGGCCGGCAGAGAATCGCTGTTAAGGTCGCCTGGTTCCATCTTCTTTCACGCTTAGTGTGCACCAACAGCCGCTTTGATTCTACTGTGATATTCTGGAGTGCGCTCGGTAACTTTTGCAGTTTCCGTAATTAATCGCAGATAGATTACCGCAAACCCAGTTTTACATAGCAAGCACCATACCATGCAACCTCAATGTTGCTTGGTGTGGTGTTTGCTATGTCGAAAACCCTTGCTATGGTGCCGTAAGAGCTATCGTCTTGTCGTAATCATGTTGCCGTAACGCCGTTCGATTGGATCACATTTGCAGGGTGAAGCGAGCGCAACGGGGACGGCTACGCCGCCGTGGCTGTCTCCGGAGCGGACCAAGCGTCAGTCCAAGAGCGCGACGAACCCGCCCCCACGGAGACACCGCCACCACGGGAGACGCCGCCGACGGAGCCGGCGCGTGCTTATGCGAGCCCGACGATTTCGTCTCCAGTGCTGCTGGAGGCACCACCAAGATCCCCGCCGCGACCGAGGACGACCAAGACAAATCACCCACGCCGTCAAGACCGCCAAGCACGCCGAGAAGCCGCAGCCCCGTACGCGCGCCCTCGTTCCGTCCATGAGCACGTCATCCGTGGTGCCGCTGCCGAGCAAGCGGCGACTCCATCCGCGGTGGATCTTGCACCGCTGGCTCGCCGGCAAGCGTCGCGGCACGGCGACATCTTCGCGCCAGCGCGATGTCCCTATAGCGTTGCGCACTTGCGCGACAACTTCAATCCCATGGCAACGATCTTCCCCGTGGTGCGCCACTTCGGGTCCTGCAACTGCTGGAACCCATGCCACACGGAATCCTGTCGCAACGCGCTGATGCACATCTTCTGCAGCCCGAACTGCTGTCCGTAGTCGGGGAAGTGCGGCAACGGCCTGGAAGATTCGTCCAAGGTTTTCCTCGGCCGCAACCAGCGCACGCACGAGTTGGGGATCGTACCATTTTGGTCCTCGGCGATCCGCCTGCTTTTAGGCGCGCTCCGCACTCTGATTCGAGATCACACGATGGACTGCTTGATCGTCCGGCCTCGTCCTGCAGCGTCTTGTGATGGTCGATGCCATCGTTTAGCTTGAACACGCGTTCTTCTCCTTCATTTAGGGCGCCTCACGCGAACGTTTGTTCGTGTGGGCTGACGTATGACCGCAGCCCAACAGGGCGGCTCTGAGAGCCGCCCCAGTTGTATCGATAGGCCTTGGGCGACAGCGCGTAGTATTTGCCTGGGTGCTGATGGGCTCATAGTCGAAGTCCTCCTGCTGCGGCGTCGGGCCTGGTGCTGGGCATGCTGTTCGGGTTCACGTGCTGCTGGAGTTCATGCACGCCGGGCCATTGAAGCCGCCGCTATCAGTGCCGTGGTCCAGGGATTTGTAGTAGAGCTTGGGAAGTTCGCCTCTGCGCTGGTGGTGCGGCGAGTGCGCCTGGTACTGCGAGTAGCCGTAGCCCTGCATGGCGAAGAGGAAGGAGGAAGTCAGGCGGGTGTACTGCCGATGAAAACCTACAACGCCGCTCGCGCCCGTGGAGCACCGGAGCGCGACTTCGAGAGCTTGAGGCGCAAGTTCAAGACGCTGTATAGTGCTCGCAAGCCGACGGGCATGCCGGAGATGCCGCCACACATCAAACGCGCCAAGGAGGCCAAGCAGGCCATTGACGACAAGGCCAATGTCATCGAGATCGACGACGAGGCCGACAGCGACCAGGGCTTCGTGGAGCCCGACTTCTCGTTCGAGGCTGACCCCGACGACGACGACTTCTTCGAGGGCGGTGAAGGCGACAACGTGCAGCATGATGCCGAGGGTGGCACCGGGCACGACGAGCCCCTCGACACGGATGGCTCCGTTACGGGCGACTCCAGGAGCTCCAGCGCCCCACCCAGTCGAGGCGGGTTCCAAGAGCTGCTGGCGGCACCACTTGCCAGCGATGAGCTCGGAGCCCAAGCTCGTACTTCGCGTCCGGCGCCGCTTCGAGCACCTCAAAATGGCCGGCAGTCTGGCTCTGGGGGGCCACCCAAGCAACGCAAGAGCCCTTCCACCGTAGTTGCCATCGACGGCGGTCTCTCGACGGGAACGCCAGTCGACCAAGGACGATCGCCAGGGAACCCGAAGAAGGTCACCATGTACAAGACCTCCTCGAACCGCCTCGGAGGCACCGATCTTACCAGTTTCCGGGATGCGGTGGGCGCCAAGCGCACCTTCGAGGAGGACAAGGAGACGCTGGAGGCCAGCTTCGCAAAGGCCAAACGCATCAGGGGCATGAAGACCACCACCGCGCTCAAGAACAAGTTGAGCGGCCTTGAAACCAACGCCCACACCATGGGTGGCAGCATCATGGAGACGATCCTGCTGCTACGCGAGGAGAACGAACGGAAGGCCGAGGCGCGTCGTGCCGACGAGGAGAAGCGGCGTCGCGAGGAAAAGGGCGAAGCCAAGGCCGAAGCGGAGGAGCGTCGTCGCCGAGAGAAGCTGAGATGGAGGAGCGCGCTCGCCGCGATGGCGAGGAGGCGCGTGTGCGCACCCAGGAGTTGCTGATCTTGATCGGCGCCTTGAAGAAGAAATAGTAAGGCAAGGACGGCGTCCAGCGGAAGCAGATCATGGACAAGGTAGTGAGGTTCTTTCATTTTCATCGACGTAGTGTAGCTCGTAGCTCTAAAGCCTCACAAATGAACTACTTATGTTGATGTACATGCTCCGATTCCTACCCATGAAAAACTCGATGTCTTTGCACTTCTTAACCCACCGGCGACCGCTCTTATCCCGATTTTGCAGGGATAAGATTAATATAGAAATTTGTATACTGGTGGGATAGGGTAAGCGAGGTCCCCAGCGGCCTGCCCCGACTCTTCGGGTTTTACCGGCTGTCAATCTCATTGGTCAGAGTTATCCAATCAAAGCTTGGATACGGCCGTAATATTAAGCTCTGTCGAGATTTCGATCGAAAAAACCTTGGCGTAATTCGCAGGATAATGCGAACATTCGCTAAGTGAGTGAATTGTTCTGAGCTGAATATCGCGGTTGATGGACGTGCTCAGCAATCGCTGTGACACTATCCCAGGGCAAGCACGGGACGGCACATGAGGGACGCCTTCTACTGCAACGACGAGACAATCGAAAGCAGAACAACTCAATCTCGGTACGCTGCTCGCTCTAGTCAGCCTGTTGTCCCATTGCTGACGTGTTTCTCGACTGCAGGCGAGGCGAGCGCTGGCGGCACAAGCCCCCCCCCCCCCCCAGACCGGCGAGGTCATCGACGCTGGCGAAGTGCTCGGTCAGTACCTCGGGAAGCACGTGAGCGCTTCTCGAGCGAATCGACCGCGCAACCGGGGCTACAGGCTCGTGTTGAAGCAGCGGCCCGAGAAACCGGCGACCGGCGTCTGCGCTTCAATCAACGCGGAGCGCATGGGGAGCCTCGTGCGCTTCGTGAATCATTCATGCAGGCCGGCCGCTGCGTTCGTCGAGCTGTCTAACGGCCGTCGCACGACCGTGGTGGTGGTGACTACGCGAGACATCTGTCGCGGCGACGAGGTGACCGTGGACTACGGCGACGACCTCTGGTTCGTGTGCCGCTACGAAGTGGCTGAATGCCGCCACAGCAACATCCAGGACGAGGAAGATCCATGAAGACGCTGCAGGAGGGCCAAGAGATACGTGTAGGTCGGTCTATGAGAAACATGCATGATGAGATGAATGAAATCAAGGTGACTGTAACGATGGGTTCATTGTTTTGATTTAGCTACAGGACGTGGGTGTTGTGTTCGACGTGAACGACGTTGATTTTGGGCGCGAAGGCGCATCCTCCAAGTCCAAGTCCCTTCGATGTTTTGAACCGGTTGTCTGCGTTGGCGGCATTTTACGCGCGCGGATTTCCCGCGTTGAAGTTGTCGGCAGCCTTTCAAGATCGACGGCGCATGGCTGGTGAGTATTGCTTCTTGGTAGATGACCTGCACGCCGCCATGGTCGACGGCGTCTCTCACTTTGCTATTTGCCAGCTCGCAAGCAAGCCTCCTGCCCAAGCGCACTCCCGCACCTCCTCTCCAAGCTCCTTCCCCCGTGCGTCGCCCTCCTCCTTTACTTCACTCCCTCGCTGGTTGGCTGCCTGCCTGATTGTCGTCGTGTGCTTCGTGTGTCTACAGATGGGCAAGAACTCCGGCAGCACGAACTACACAATGTTCGGCATTGACCGACTCCTACACCTCGTCGAGCAGGCGCTCCCGCTGGGCCGAGACGAGTGGGAGCGCCTTGCGGTCGGTGGCTAAGGCGGTGGCGTCAGCGATGAGAGCTATAATACCCGATGGTGCTGCCAAAACAGGCTCTCACTGCAACAGCAGCCTTTGCAGGCGGATGCAGTGAGTATGTGTTTTAGTGTAAGGGTCTAGTATAAAATAAAATAAAGGCATTCCATAGAATTGAGCGACAGTCAAAATGAACCTGTCAAACGTTGCGGTCGCTCTTCAGTGGTACAGTACACATCGTGTGTGGGGAGATTTCTCCGAGAAGATCATGGCCGACGCAAGTATGTACACCGACGGCAGGGCGGCCGACAGCAGCAGCACTGTGGGCGGCAGCAGCAGCGATGACGACGAACGCTCGAACCTACAGGAGCTCACAGCACGAGGGCGCTCCGAGAGCCAAGGGCAGCTCAGCGATCAAGATACCGACTTAGACCGCTCCTCCTACTTTGTTCTCTCGGGCCCAAACTACACCTACGAGGCTGTCCCGGTGCGCATGTATGTCGTACTTGTGGTGGCTATTTGATATTTGATATCTATACGTCCTGCTTGCATACAACAGGCTTTCACGCCGGATGTCAACCGAACAGCGTCAAACAACAAGAAAATTTATGGCAAGCCGATGTCTGTAGGGGAGGTACGTGCACGTATCTTTGGTGTTTCAGTGGGCGTCACGATGGCTCAATTCCGATGTATGCCTAGACGTTGGAGAGATTTCAATGGCACCAGGGGTTCCTTGACTTTCACACCGTCCAGCCAGTACGCAAACCTTCACGCGACCGGGTGGGTATGCGAATTACTTGAGCTCTGTGGCGTAGTCTAACAAATGTTATTATGCAACAGGTTTACGATCCTAGATTCAGGTCTACCAACCATGTAGACGCATTTCTAGCCGCCCTTCCGCTCTACGAGATGTATGCACAGTTTCAGAATGACGAAGACTCGAGTCACATCTACGCGTGGTTGCAAGCGTCCCTGAAAGCCTCGAAGGTATTTCACGCGTTCTGTGGCGCCATGTAACGGGGTTACACGCACAAGTAGCTACAGTCACTTGGTACTCTAACAGATGCGATGTCTGTTAGAGGTTTGAACACTTCCTCGACCTTGGTGTAAGGTACACCAATGGCTACATACATTTACGACCACCACGACGGGTGGTCCATACACATTTAGGATTCCTATTGGCTGAAAGCAGCATCTTTTAGCCAATGAGTGACTTGGATGTTAGCAGAATCCTGCCAACCAGCCGTTGGCAGATTCCTAGTTTAGAATATTACATTTAGAGGAAGTCAGAAACATAAAACAGAAATAGCAGTTCTCATTTTAACCCAAAACATTATTTGGATCGTTTATTTAGATTAATCTATACTCGGAGGCCCGAGTATAATTAACTCTAGTGTAAACTACGCTACGCTGCCTCACACACGTGCGCGCACGTGTAAGCTAAAGTAGTGAGCCAAACTAGGCCCATTACACCTGGTAGCACTTTGTAGTCCGTCCAACGACCGACTACCTGAACGTTCGTACGGAGCTGTACGAACGAGGAGCCGAGAACCTTTTCATGAGCACGGAGGTGCCCATGGAAAGCTCCACTTCGCCTGCAACTCATGTTGCACGCGCTAACTACCTCCACCTGTCGGATCCAGAGTGGGAGGCACTCCAACGACTGTCAACAGTCTTTGGGGAGGCGGCAGTAGCTGCGATGCTGCGTACGCTATCACCGACAGAGCAACATGTTGTTGCTCTGGGGTTCATCATGAAGGAGCAGCGTGATGCTGCTTCCTCTACCACGGTGGCGTCGGAGACGACACCGCGTGGACAATCGTTGAAGCTAAACGTGAGCAACTATGTCGGAAGAGAGGGCGAGCCTCTCCTCCGTTGGCTTGTCGAACTCGACACTGCCATCGCGGCTCGACGTATCGTCGCCCCGTTTTCCAAGGTTGCGTTCGCCATGTCATGCCTTGGCGGACGAGCGATAAGTTGGGCGTATGGGCGCCGACTCTCTGATTCTACGTGCTTCAGCACGTACGAGGGTTTCAGGGAGAAGCTCAGGCAAGCGTTTGAGCCCCCGCAAAATGAGTTTCGGTCGAGGGCAGAGTTCCTCGACCTACAGCAGGGGAAGCATGATGTTCATGCTTACGCGCAGAGAGCACGGTATTTGATCTCGAACATTGTGACCAACCCGATAGACGAGGCGACCAAGGTCGTCACGTTCATGAAAGGACTTAGAGATGGGTCTATGAAGACCTATCTCTTCCGTGAGTACCCGAGTACTCTCGAAGCTGCAATTACTCTTGCAATGCAGGAGGAGTTTAGCCTGCGACAGGCTAAGCTGCATGCAAATGCGCCGAGGCAGCGACCGCCTCCGGTTGCGATAGCGGGAGGTCCGGAACCAATGGACCTCTCGAATGCAACCGCTGCTGATTATCAACAGCAACAAGGAAGTAATGTACGATGCTTCCGTTGCGGAAGGATCGGTCACTATGCCCGAGAGTGCACGGCACCCGTGCACCGAGATGGTGGTCGACGCGGCGATGCCGGGCACCGCCGCAACCAAATAAAAAACGCTGGACGCCAGTAGGCGCGGGGCGCCCTACTGGTAATGCAGTTCCGCGTGTCGACCTTGGACACGCAACACTGAGGACTGCAGCCCCCAGTGAGGTTCATTCTCACTGCAAGAACCAAGATGACAAGCCTGACCTTGTCATTCTGAATGTGAACTCGATGAGAGCAAGCGACTCTCTTCGTGCTTTAGTAGATTCTGGCGCGTCGAAGAACTTTGTTCGACTGCGAAGTCTATCAAGGCTTGACTTCGAGAATTGAAAGATACCTCGAAGTATGTTGGAAGTACGACTGGCAACGGATGCCGTCGTGAAGACCGAGAAGCGCATGGAACGCGTGCGCTTCACGTATCAAGATCAAGAGTTTGTCGAGACCTTTATCGTCCTGGATCTGGACGATAAGTTTGACATTGTATTGGGCATGCCGTGGCTTGCACGGCATGATCCGGTCATCGATTGGGAGAAGCGCACTCTCGTGCGCTTAGGTCGCGACAGCGGAACAGTGAGCGATGGCCCTGTTGCCGCTGCGCACGCACGGACAGGTGCGCGCGACTCCCCACTCGAGACAGCGCCTAATGCTGCTGTCCCGAAGCGCCCTGGGCGCGCGCGAGTACGCGCGCAAGAGCAGCAAGCGTCGGCGTCGCCGCCGATGGCTGAAGGAGAAAATGTGTTGATCTCGGAGATCGACACCCGCTTTTCAGCGAATCAGGAAGAGTCTCCGAGCTCAAGGGGCACGGATGAC